TTTATGAACAACGTCAATGATTATGAGGGCAAATATATTGGAATGGAGTTTGATGGAAAAAAAAAAAAAATTGGAGAGTCAGCAATTGTTAGGTTTTTGAATTTTTAAAATAAGGAGGTCCAAATGAGATAGTAGTTAAATTGATTGAATTATGCGGATCTTATATAATGTAAGGTTAAATACTTTGTGTTTGTGTATGAAGTTTCTTATGGAGCGATGATCTTTAGAACCTATGATAGCTTAGTGAGAGAATAAATGACGATACATCAATGTAAGGACCACATGATTTAGAGCTAATGAGATTAATTAACCCTTACTTTAAGCAGAGGTTATAACGTGATTAAAATTCTTACGTGTAAGGTGAAATAAACTAGGTGTCGAATCTGTACTTACTTGACTTTGACGACTTATTAGATATAGTACAACTCAAGTTTAAATTAAACTATTGTAATAAGGTAGGTAACTTTGGGGCTAGTTCATCTCATAATCATCCTACCCCTTCCCTATAAAATTTTGAATTTTCTTCCATGGTTTGTCTTCATAATTTAATAAAAAATTAATTCTACTTGGTCTGACTAACGAACTTAAAAAATATTTTTATCTCATCTTCTTTGATTCATCCTTCTATAATCTTGCTCAACAGCATTATGTGAGGAAGTACAGCTCACCATTGTCGTAAACAATATGTTTCACCTAGTTTCTTTTATTTTCAAAATCGAGGACGAATTTTTTTTAAGGGGGGAGACTGAAATTAACCCGAATTTTTATTTTCAAAAAAAATTTTTCCAATTAAATTTAATGAACCAGACAGCCTGGAAATTAATATTAATATTTTAGGTGCAACTACTATGAGAAACCGAACCAAAAAAACCGATTGAAAAATTTATGAAAACCAGTTAAAAAATCGATGATTTGGGACCGAATCGAACGAATCGAACCGAGTTCGACCCAAACCATCTTAGAAAATTCTCTTTTTCTTTTTATTCCTCCAACGACTAAACTCACTCCCCCTCACCAGCGCACCTCCACTTCCATCGCCACTGTCACCACAGCGCCACGCCACTCCTCCCTCTTCTTCTTCTTTATTCTTCTCGCTTCTCTTTCTTCTTCTCCTTCTTCTTCTTTCCTTTTTCTTCCTTTTCTTTTCTTTTCTCTTGTGCCTGCGTTCTATGGCGAGACAGAGCAAACGCAGCAGAGCCCGGCGCAGCCCACTGCCACTATCGGCCACCGCCCCTACTGCAAGCTCGACAACGCAGCAGCTTCTCGTCTCCCGGCCAGATCGCGTTGCTGTTCCTTGTCGCGCCCTACCGCAGCAGCACAAGCCTTGTCAAGCCGTCGCTGCCACTACAGATCGGGTGCCTCCGCCGGCGTCACAGCAGCTTCTGCCGTCTTTCCAGCACGCCGATCGGTCGTCTCCACCAAAATCTCTCCGGCCACTGCCAGTTCGAACGTTCGACCCACATTGGCAGAAATTTACTGCTTTTTTTAACCCCGACACGCGTAAGAATTTTCGATCTAAGCAATAATTAATTAATTAACGTTAATTTAGTTAATGTTATTTAGTTAATGTTATTTGTAGTTAATTAAATTAACATTTAATTGTGTTAATGTTATGTTATTTAGATAATGAAAATATTAGTTAATTAAATTAGTATTTAGATTTATTAATATTAGATAATGAAATTAATTTTATTATTCTGCTAATTAATTAATCTTGAACTAAGTTAATGTTTCAGGAAATGTTAGATAATTGAAATTATCTTATTATTTGTAGTTAGATTCAATTTGGTAAATGTTGGAGTAGTTAATGCTTGATATAATTTTTATTGTTGATTTATAATTAAGGTAAGCTTAGATATTAATGTTATTGTAATGTATAATATTGGATTGTGTGGTGATGTTTGAGATTAAGAGAGGATGGGAAACTGTTGATTTGATTAATGCCCAGACGTGATGCGGCCGTTATGGATTAATATTTTGTGAAATTGTTGATATTTTAACAGGTAGATAGTCCAATTTTTAGGGGAGGTAAAAAATGCTGCCGAAATTTCGGTGTATAAAAATAAAATAAATTCGGTTATAAAAAAAAAAAAAATAAATACAATAAAATAAAATTTCGGTAGGAAATAAAATAGAAGTCAAAAGGAAAATTAAAAGGAAAAATAGTGTTCGGTAGAAAATTAAATTTATCTATAAAAAATAAATTAAATCTCGAGATTAAATTACGTAAGAAGAGTTAGAATATAAAATAAAAATTTTTAGAGTGTAAAGAAATATTGTCTGATAGGAATTATTTTCTTTTGTGTCGTTCTAAACTTTGCTAGATTCGCCAGGGTCTCATCTAGTGCTCCTCCAGGACAGAATCAAGCTTAGAACTGTCGCTCTCCATCACTGTGAGTAAAGTAATATAAAATAATTGCATTGTCAACACTGGCTATTTGCATAACCATTTACATTTTTATTATATTTACAAATATTTGTATTTCTTCAAAATATATTTATGTTATGATCACTATATTATACTTATGCTTAAATTGTGCATTTGATGAAAATTGGTGTATTATGATTAAATGAATTGGTTGATTATTTGTGCTGTGTATATACTGTGCTCTGGTTTTGTGTGGAGTTTAGGATGAAGTGGGTCACCCTGGGGTTTTGTCGAGAAACGGTCGATAAATATGGGATCCTGATGAAATGATGAAAAAAAAATTGGACCGCCGGCCGGGTAAATGGGAGGATCTGGCGCCCCCGTGGTGCACCTGATGAAATTGATGAAATGATTGGTTTGATGAGATGGGGAAAAGAAAATAGTTGAATGTAAAATAAAATATTGAGCAGGTGGACCTGGGTCAAAGTGAGGATTAGAAACCGGATCGCCATCGATATGGGGAGATATTGGCTCCCCGGGGTGCCACATGTTTGAGAGGATGGGCTGTTTGATGATGAGACGGTCTCGTCGGGGGTTTAGTGACGCCACGACTAAAATCCCACAGTGATGTGATTATTTGGAAGGTGATAAATTAGTGTGGTGCTGATTTAATGTCATATGATTGAATGTTGTAGTGTTCTATTCAAGTATATCAAATAGGCGTGCATTTTGCTTGACTGTATGTGGTGGTATTTATTTATTATTTATTCAAACTGAGTTGCAAATCACCTCCCCTCAACAAACCCTCCCAGGGTACTAGAAGCAGCTGATTCAGACTGGAGCTCTGCAATCCTTTCTCTCGCAGAGTTATAAATGTAAACTTTATATTCCTGTTTATTTTTAATTATGGATGTATAAATTATTCTGTTTATCAGATTATTCTTTTTGGGAGCTCCGCAGTATATAGGGTTGTGTATTTAATAATTGGACTATTGTGATCACTACACTATAAATTAAATTTAGGTAATTAGCTGCAGAGTGAACCAGTTAAGCCAACATACGTGATTATTAATTTTATTGTGAATAGGCCCTGGTTATACATATGTGTTATTGAAGAATAATTGGGGCCAGCATGTTCTGTATATGGGTTTACGGTTTGATGAAATTGGAAAAGATAGGTAGACATATTTGGATAATTTAGGCTTACTACGGGGCCTTCGGCGTAGGCCATTAAGCTTACCTGGGCGCCTAGTGCCGGTCCGTCCCATGGGAAAACGGGTCGTGACAGATGCCACCTTCTTGCATCAAAACCTAGCAAATGAATTTTAATTTTCTTTTTTTTTTTTTTTTTTGAAGCACTTCTTCTTCAAAATATTGATGCACCCTCTCATCACTTTCTTTTATTTTGGAGCACTTTCTCTCCAATACTCAAAGGAAGAGTTCCCTTCCTTCTTTACACAAAATTTGATTGATTTTATTACCTGCAATTCTTTTTGAATAATGACCAAAATTTTCTTACAATTAAAAACAGTTGAAGTTTACCTTTTTTATGCCAAACAATTCATATTCAATATGATTATCTTTCTTGCATATGCCACCCATAGTTGGAAATTTTTCTTCTTTTTGATAAAAATTTGTTCGTTGTCTTGGCAAACAAAATCGGCCTCTATAGTTTATCTTCTCTAAATGCTCTCCGTTGCTCCACAGCTATGTAGCTGCATTAGTTAGTTCACCACGGGAAATTTCAGATAAGATTTTTTTTGTGTGTTCAAGAGAAGAAATTTTGGAACTCAAATTTTTTCGGCATAAACTTATTAGAATTTTTTTCAACCAAACCCTTTCTATTCAGGAAATCTTCACCAAAAAGATAATCTAATTTTGTTAACAAAATGGACATGAAATTGTTAAACATATTCTTTGCACACCTCAAGGATGTTTTCATTAACATATTCTTTGACACCTCCAGATGTTTTCATTTTTTGCATCTCAAATTCTCTTTTAAGATTCAAAACTTGCATCAATTTCGTCTGCTCGTTGCTTTGATACTCATTTTTTAATGAGTCCCATATCTCCTTTGCTGTTTCATAAGTCATAATACTTGTGAAAATTATATCCGAAACAGAAGAATGAAGGCAGATTTTTGCTTTGAATTTTTTTGGCTTTTTCTTCGCTATGATTCTTAATTTGAACCATAGTTGGGTTGGATGGCAATGAATTTTCTGTTTCAACATGCTCCCATAAGTCATAAGCTTGTAAATAAGCTTTCATTTTAACAGCTCATAGTTGATAATTTTCACCAACAAAAATTGGAGGGGAAGAAAATGAAATAGTGTTTGTGGCCATTTAACAGACAAGCTCTGATACCATGTTGAAATTTTGAAAAGAAAAATAGAAATGTACAAGATGATTAACAATGCTTTGCACTTCATTGAATTAACAAAAGAATATGCCTATTTATAGGCTTACAAGTGAATCAAATAAGTCATAAAAATCATTAATCTTAATAACAAAAATATCAAATTTCATTAAAAATCATTAATCTTAATTAACAAAAATATCAAAATTCTATTACAACATTAATCTTAATAACAAAAATATCAAATTCTATACAAAAAATCTGCACTAAATAAAATTGAAATCTCAAAATATTTTTAATAATATTATTTTGAATTAATCTTAACATTAACGTATACTGTTAGATTGCTCCTTAGACAAAACTATCATAAGGAAAACCAGAAAACCATTATATTGCTTTCTAATCGAAGCTTTTAGCCACAAGCTTTACAAATTCAGTAAAATCAATAACTCCATCTCCATTATCATCATAAGCTCTAATCATCCTTCTACATTCTTCTTCTGTAGCTTCCACAGAACACAATGTACAGACAACTTTCCTCAACTCCTTTGAATCAATAAACCCATCATTATTTTCATCAAACATAGAGAAAGCTTCTCTAATTTCTTGAAAGCTTGGCTCCTCTTCTTCAAAAAGAGTAGTAATGTCATTTGAGCCCAACCTATCCTTTAACTTATCACCATCTGGGTCATAGCAAGTTCCTATCTGCTTCATCACCATTGCCACCTCTCCTCTACCTAATTCCTCAGAACAATAATTTAAATTCTTACGATTTTTTATATATCTGTCAATGAAATGTTTCTTTGATGACTCCCAGCTTTCAGCAGAAACCCTCTTTATGTAGAAAAACACATTCAAGAAGGAATTGGAAAGTTGGCAAAAACCGGAATAGAAATCTTTAAGGGTGATTATAAAGTCGAGAATTGTTAGCAAGAACAATATACCAACTAGTGAAACAGAGTCTGCTGCGGCAGATACATCTTCATATTTAGTGTATTCCATTTTTTTTTTTTTTTTTTTTTTTTTAATAAATGGTAAAAATTAGATGAGAAGACGTAAAACAGAGGGGGAGATAGGGATTTTTCGGTTTGGTCAGGTGCAATTGAAATAGCTTCTGTGCGGATGCTATATATAGAAATGGAGTAAAACTGAAGAGGAAATGGTGAAGAAGAAGAAACATGGGCAATGTCGGCAGAACTTGCCAAACAACTCGTTTTTCATTAGTTAATCTGCTTTATTCCTTCGTTAACTTCATTGCCAGAGAATATAAATAGGTTTTTTTTTTTTTTTTTTTTTTGTATAAATGGTAAAAATAGATGAGAAGACTAAAACAGAGGGAGATAGATTTTGGGTTTGGTCAGTGCAATTGAATAGCTTCTGTGGGATGCTATATATAGAAATGGAGTAAAACTGAAGAGGAAATGGTGAAGAAGAAACATGGCAATGTCGGAAGAACTTGCCAACAACTCGTTTTCATTAGTTTAATCTGCTTTATTCCTTCGTTAACTTCATTGCCAAGAGAATATAAATAGGTTACTAGTATTTTATTTTCTTGTTTACATATTTTCAGAGAAAGTTCCAGGAAATTTTGTAGTTCAAAACAATGAGAATATCTATGGGCGAAGTTACTGCAGTACAACGACGTCGTTGTTGCAATTTAAATTTATAATTAGTAATCATTTGTACAAATCTTATTAAAGAATTCTGAATAGCAGGACCAAAGTTCCGGCTTTATTTGGATAGAATTTAGAAAAACGGTAGGAATAGCATATCCAGCTTCTAAGAAATGAACAAAAGAAATTAAATTGCAGAAAGCAAAATGCTAAAAGCATAAATATTAAGCAAGACTGACTTTGCATTTTTTTTCTCATAGGTGAGAAAACAGATTCGACATTCAAGAAACGTATTCAGTGTGAGAGAAAAATAATTTTTATATTTTACTACCCAAAAGGCAAGAGCATATAAATCCACTGTGAAAAAAAGTTGGAGAAACATGTCTTTATTAGAAAAGAAAAAATTTCACATTACGAGTCTTTCTCTTGAGATTATATAACTGTTCATAAAATTAAATTTGATGGTAAAAAAATGTTTTTTCTTTGAAGAAAGTTTTGTATTTTTCAATGTTATATAAGTAATTATTTAAATTAAATTAACAAATTAAACTAAGTCGATATACAAATTTCTTTCACTCAAGTTAGTTACGTCCAAAGGTGAAACATTTTGTTTGTAGCTGTAGAGGATATTATCCAATCCAAGCCTAAAAGTAATAATCATTAGAGAAAAGAGAAGATGAGGCCAAGCAGAGAGAAGGCCAGAAGGCGAAACCGTCCATCCTCTCCGCCCACACCCTCTAGAACAACAATCACCACCACCACTTCCTTCCCCGCGGAACCGGATACATCCCCACCTAAGTCTCGCCAATCTTCTTCGGCCTCCTTCCTCGACCGCGCGCTCGTGACTGAACAAGATACTGTTACTCTGTTTGAAGACCTCCAAATTTCCAAAGATTACACGAATTCAAGCCCTGAGCCGAGGAGCTTTCCGTACAGCGTAAAACAGCAATGCTGGGAGAAGGCGGAGAAGGTCAAGGGCCGAGACCCGGACCGGTGGCGCCGTGACCCGATTGGTAACATTGTGTTTAGAAAGCTTGTGGGTTGTCCCGGTTGCTTGTGTCATGATTATGACCATATAGTGCCTTACTCCAAGGTATTTTATTTTGATAATGTGTTTCCATTTCTCTTTTATATAGAGACTCCGATAAGTCCGTTTTAATTGTGTGATTTCGTGAGTGAATTTTATGGTCTATATTAATAAGATTGGCTTGAGTGTGTTAGTTATTTTGCTCCCACTCCTGGATCCAATTTCCGCCTTTAAATGGAATGTTTTGATGTTTTGTTCGACGATGATGTGTTGAAAATGAATTTAATTATTTCTTGATTGGTTTATGCCTTTCTGTAGAATGAAAAGTTTGCTAATTTATGGGTTGATTGGATACATTGTAAATGGAATTCTCAAATTTAGGGTTTGAGGTATGACAAATGACTATAGCGCAACTGCTATGAAAAATGCCGTTTGGAGGTAAGATACTTACCATTTCATAGGATAGAAGTAGGTGGAGGAAAAAAACGATCTGGTATGGTCGATGTTGCAAAAAATCCTGAAATGGTATAGAGGCCTGCAATAAGGTAGAGAGGAGGATTAAAAGGTATTTCGCATTGTCAGCAACTTTAAATTGCTGTAATGGAGTGAAACTGATGAAGGAAAAGTACATTTGAATTTGAATTTAGGGATTTAGAAATGGAATCAAGTAATAGTGCTGTGAAGCTGTAGGACCTTTTTTTTTATTTTTTAAACTTTGTGTGAAAGTAAAATCTTTCCTTTTTCATGTTCATGTCAGTTCAGCATTATCAGACTTGAGAAGCCATTGAATTTTCCTAGTTTGTTACCTTTATTTTTGGCTTAACAATTCTAGTGCTTGCTCTGCAACTCAGTCTTGTTGAAGAGATTAGGAGTATGCAATGGGCCCAATTAAAAAGAAATTATATGAACTTCTGTTGATTTAGCAATGGTTCTTAGTGGAAGAAGGTTTTTGCCATATAGGTATTGCTTTAGTGAAAATGTTACTTAAAATCTTGAGAGGATGGTAAAAGAAGGATACAAAAGGTCAAAAAGCAAGTGAAGAATTCCATTCACTCTCTTTGTGTGAGTTAATGCAAGTAAGAGCAGGAGTGTTTTCCTTCTTTTTTTTTTTTTTGTTGGGTGGAGGAGATAGAATAACACCTACTATTGCAATCTTATACAACCTAGTTTTATTAGTGACTACTGCATAATTTCTCTCTAATTATGGCAGATACGAAGCGGATTCACAGTTTTTATGTGTTTTTAAGAGAGCATGTTTGTCTGCAATTATTTATGGAACTTTTTGGTTTCCATCAAAATTTGTTTTACGGTGAGGAATTAAATATATGGTAATGTTGAAATGATTTATTTCATCTTCTTGATTAGACTTAGTATCCCTAAATGTTAATATTTGGTTACCAAATATTTTGTATGGACTGAGAATTCATTAATGAATTGATTACAAATTTTGTTTCTGTAAGCGACCAATATATGCAACTGCTTCTGTCCCTCTTGACATTAGGTTGGTACGTCTTTTCAAATTATTTTTACTTTGAATCATTTGGATCATTTGCTGGATTAAATTTTCTATGCATAAAATTATGTCTTTTGATGCTTGTTATGAGACTGCTATTTGTGCTGCGTAACCAGTAATACTCATAGGTCCTGTAAGAAATAACTCTTGTTAACGTCTTGTGGTTTGAGTATTTATTTTTGTGATTTAGTTTGTACTTAGTTTTATTTTTTTGTATATATTTCCCACTTGAATGATTCAAGTATTTTCATTTTGCAGGGGGGTAAAAGCACGCTGGAGAATTGTCAGGTTTTACAGGTGAGAACTTTGTCTTCTACTAATATATGTGATCTTGACATTTAACTGGCATGTGGTTCTTCTTTGTCTGTCTTTCTTGCTTGATTTGTCTTTCATCTCTCTGTCTTATCTGAATGGAATGTACACCATCTTCCTATCAGACTAAGGGTTTTGATTGAGCAGTTGGTGTGATATTCATAATACCTTCTGCCTTCAACTTGAATTCCTCCTATAACCTGAGAATTAGAACATTTGATTTTTGATAGTAGTATGCTTGTCCTAAAACAATGGGTAGTTTTTAAAGCTTTAGTTCTCACTTTCCTATATGATAGAATACCACTCATTTCCTTCTGGATTTGCTTCTTTCTGCTTGTTTACTGTCTAGCAATATGGAGGTGAGTAATGTTCATTTTCTTGCTTAAATCTAGTAAGATTGGTCCAAAGAACAGAGCAATTTTATGAGCTTCTGCTTTTCCCTAGTATTGGTTAATGCCTTGCAACTATCACCACTATGAATGGCTCACGTTAAGTACATTGCAGTCTCTTAAGGATTTTGTGCATTATTGTATCTTTCTATTTCCTGCCTCCAGACAGCTAATGGAAGTGAATCATATTTCCTTTCAAAGCAGTTTATCTCAAGGCTTCATGCTCTAGAAATCAAAATGAACGTTTTCTCCGAAGTTAATTGTTAGTTGACTACCATGCATAAGGCAGACTCTCAAGTAAAAATGCCAACCTTAAATCTATGGATCAAGCCAATTAGTACTCTCATCCTTATGATGCAAGAACTCCTTTGTCCTGACTGTTATACTGATAAGAGGTCAGAAAGTTAAAAATAACCATCGTTCTGTTTCATCTGATTTCTAGGCACCATCTCTTTCTAGATCTACTTGGTTTGATCTTTTCAGTTTTATGCTACCATTTAATATGTTACAAGTCCTTACATTCTCTTTTCCTAACTTATACAAGGCATTGGATAATCCCTTTAAGAACGCTGACCTTTTGGCTTATACACTGCAGGCAACCGTCAACCGATCAAAGGGAAACCGAACGGAGCTATCTAGAGCTGAACTCATTCAAAGAAGTTCCTATTGCCGCGTTTCAGGTACTGAGAATTTAAAAAACCAATAAGAATTCACAAAGAAAAGGAATTTGGCCAAATAATTGACCGGAGAATTTGACCTGCAGGACGTGACATGGATCTTATTGAATTGTCTGCCTATGGCAATGTAAGGCGTATACAGGATTCACAAGGTTGTAGAATTCAATGACCAAATTGGATAGTTAATTCTCAGACTGACTTCAAGATGGAGCAAAAGAATTTGTACCTCTCATCATACAATTAAACGCTGTGTATCAAACTGCATAGATCTTATTCGATGGTCTTCTGTGATTATGTTAACCGGGTTATCTGCACGGCATTTCTTCTTGTAGTAAAGAGTTTATTGTTTGTAGAGGAAACGCCAGGGTTTCATGTTATTTAGCCTCCTTAAAAGGGTACACTAAACTATAGAAAACAATTTATTTGAGGAACCAACCTTATGTTTTGGCCTGGCTATGCAAATAGGGCTGTCAAATGAATCAAACCATTTGTGAACAGTTCCAGGTATGGTTTGATAAAATCTCAGGTGCATCCGAGTTGGTTTTCTAGACAAACCAAGCTTGAACTTGATTTAATTTAATGAATGAGTCAAACTCGAATTTAAGGAAACTCGGCTTGTTAAGGCTCACAAACTAACTCATTTATTAGGTTCGTTAACAAGCTCATTCACTAGTAATAAGTAGTAATAAACATTGAACTTTTTAGAGCTCAGTTCGTCTTGGTTCATTAAAGGCCCTATTGGGAGAGCATATCTTGGATCCAATGAAAACTCTATTTAAGCTTTTCCCAAAATCAGTTTTGGCCCAATAGCAATGCTTGCTTGGACGCAGTCGACGGGGACCAAAAGCAAGTGGGTGAGTACTGCTTGTATGTGGAAACCCACCAATCTCCTCCAGTCCAAGCAAGTATTGCCCTATGCAGAGAAGCTAAGCCACATGCAATTTAGTGAATAAGAGCCCGTTTATTTAACCCTTTGTTTGGATAGGAGTATTTTTTTTTAAAGGAAGGAAAATAATTAAGGAAAATGTCTAAAAAAAAGAAAAGATATTTTTCTCTTTGGAAAAAATGAGAAAAATATTGAACAAAATAATATTTCACTTATCTTCCACTATAACTCGCATGTTTTGAATCTCTCCAAGGGAAAGCGAGAATTTCATTCATTTTTATTAAATTACCCAAATTAATTGACAAACTTTAACCCTTTATTAAATGTCATATTAATTAAGTGAGACATAATTGTCAGTTTTCAATAATAACATTTTCTTTTCTCTAAAATTTTGTTATTTTCAATTCACTGTATCCAAACACAAAGGTAAAAAAATAACTATAAAAGAAAAATTTATAATCCCTCGTTATTTTCCTTCTCTTCTTTTCAAACAAAGGTTAAACTTTGAAGCACACTATCATTACCACCATGAAAGTGGAAAGAAGAAAATTGATGCATCTTTTTCTCTCTTTTTGTTGGAAAGGGAAAGCTTGATGTCCACTCTTCTCTCTTTGACCTACTTTTCCTCTTAACAACAATTTTTTTCCTCACTTCATTCTAATTTAGTACAAAAAGATACATTTTAAGTGACAACCAAAACTCATTTTGGTCATCCTAATTGGAATCTAACATTTTCAGGCCATACACGTGTCAATAAATATAATCATTATTAATCAACAAATAATACGCATTTCCTCATAGAAAGGCACCCTTGCACCTTCCTTTGTTTGAAACTTTGTATAACTTGAGACACGTTTTTCTTTTCAGGCTTCTGGTTAACATAAGCAAAATCCAAAGGGCTATGAATGGTATGGACTCTTAAGTGTGATGCTAAATGTTTGTGACTTTGAAAATAATGTCTATATCTATCCCCAGCTAGATTTGTTGATATCCATACTATTAGTTTTTTCTTTTTTTCCATAACCATCTGTATTCGAAAAACCCTATTGGATTTCGACTACGTTTGGCTTGAATAATACAGGGTTTATATAAGGGTGACTCTACCAACGTGATAATTTCTATATTTAAAGCTTGATTCGAAATTTTTGATTAAGAAAAAATGAGTTTCAACCACTCCATCTCAACTAACGTCAGTGTGCATACATATTTTAATTTGATTAAACAGAAAAAAGCACTAGAGCTCAATACCTGACTTTATAATGGGAAGTTGACTGTGAGAACCCAATAACAAGAGTTGCTTTTCTTTAACCAAGTCAACTTTGATTAATGGCCATATTTTCTTGTGAAGTGTAGTAGGTTAGTTCTAATGACCATTCAAGTATCATATAAGTGGTGGAAATATGTAGAAGTCAAAATATTTTTTTTTATTATTATTTTTTACCAAAGGATGGGTCAAAATAGTTGACCACTCGTAACAATTTTTTTTTTTTTTTTTTTTTTTTCCATATTTTCTTGTGAAGCTGCTAAGTAGGTTTAGTTCTATGAACCATTCAAGTATCATATAAGTGGTTTGGAAATTATTGATAGAAGTCAAAATATTTTATTATTAATTTTTTTACGCAAAGGATGGGTAAAATTTAGTTGACCACTCGTAACAATTTTTTTTTTTTTTTTTTTTTTTTTGAAGAGCGGATTAATCTTAGTCACTAGGCACTAAAGAGCTGTCAAGCAGCAGTTACTTTTTTTTTTTTTTTTTTTTTTTTTTGAAGAGGATAATCTTAGTCACTAGGCACTAAAAGAGTCTTCAGCAGTACTTGGAAGAAAATTACATTGGAGTCTAATTAACAAAAAAAAAAAAAAAAGGAAAATGTTTCCAATTAATAGCAAGAAAACACATTAATAATTAGTGGTTGAAACAAGGTTTTTGATCTAATGCCATTTCCAATTAAGACAGTTTGGAAAAACTCAGCTTGTAGGAATTCAATTCAATTCAATTTGTTGATAGAATTTAACTGAATTCTTATGTAAGAAATAGTCACACACCATGTAGATTAATAATGGGTTGAATTTATTTCGTTCTTTTAATTATTTTTATTTATTAAAAAAATATTAAAATATAGATCATAAAGTAAACCGAGTGTAGTTTGATTGATATTTTTACTAATATGAAAAATAAGAGGTCTCAAATTTAAATGTTTTGTGTAACGTATTTTGTTATTTTAGACCATTACATAGATGACAATAATATTTCTATTTTGACATGTTACATTAATAGTTAGGCAGTTCACATTTTATTTTGCAATTTGCATTTCAATGTCCAATTCCTTACATGGGGTTTGTATTAGGCAACGTGGTGTCATAAGAAGTAGTTGAGCTTGTTTATGGGTATAATTAATGAATGAAGAAAGTTAGGTATTTGCCAGATTTTGATGAATTGTTTTTTTTATAATTTTTAGTTCATGGTAGTCAGCTTCACCTTATAAACTTGTTTTGTTCTGGTGCATGTGAAACGCAACATTTCGTTTTCTGGGTTTTTTATTCTTTATTTCAATGCTTATACCTATCCTTATCCTTTAAGGAACTGATTGTTTGTGTGTGTATATATATAATATATATATATATGGATTGCTTTTTAGTCCCTCTTCCCTTAGATGGACTTGTTGGCTAATTTATATAAACTCCTTACTTGAAAGATTATCTTTGAAGTCAAGCAAGCATTCAGGGAAATTGAAATTTAAAACTGCTTTTTGTTAAAACTTTTTTTTTATCTAATTCACATGATCCTTCACTTACCTATTCATTTCATGTCATAATAACTATAATCACTTGTACTTTTTGAGTTTGACATGTCTTAATCCCCTTTAGGCTTGCCTGACAGTTTTTTTATTTTATTTTATTTTATTTTAGTTTTTTTGGTTTTCAGAAATCCAGTAATCAGTCTTGTAGAGTAGGAGATTGAAGATTTAAATCTTGACAGTCCCCTCCTGCTTACTGTTGTTCGATGGAATTAGTAACGGAAAATATTTTTAGCACAATTTGCGTCAAATCTAACATGGGTGAAAAGATTTTAATATCGTTAAAAAACTTTAGATATTATTAATGTCACTCTAAGGATGTAATCATAATATGCACAGATTATGCAAGACGCAACTTGTATCATTTAGCAAACCTCAATTAGGAATTTTATTGTTTTTATTGTCCTACTTATGCTGGCAATGAAATATTGAAATTAATATGGTCTTCAAATAATAATTTTCATGGGGAAATTTATCATTGGTTGTATGGCTGGAATTTGATGATAAGTGCCTGGAACTAACTGTCATTAATATTTCAGTTCCCTGGAAAAAAAGGTAAAAATTAGGCATATGGACAGAAAGAAATGTACTATTGCTTTCTCCATAAAAAGAAAAGAAAAGTAAAGAGCAAAAAGGAAAATAAAGCAAAAGCAAGAGAGGATGCCAGAGAGGAGTAATGGAAGTATATGCAGTTTGGGACCCATAGCAACTCACCTTAATACACAGAATGTGGTCTAAATTTGCTGCTAGCAACAAAATATCTAGTAAGATGTTCCTTGTTAGACATCAACCAGAGACACATATTGTTTGGATTTTAATGTATCTTGTAATTGTTGTTTAAAGTAATTACTAATTTCCTTTTGGGTCATATCCATTTTCTAACCAATTAATGGACCTCTTGTGCTTTAGTCACTACTTGGCAGAGCTAATGAGTCTATTTAACAATAGTTCTTTGTCTGAGTGCAATTAGCAGATTGGTCACTTTTACTTTTTCTAATCTCCTCATAATATTCTAATTAACTTAATAATTATGATTGCTGAGAAATTTTAGGAAAAGAAAATAAAAAGGGATCAACTCGAGAGTTTCTTTCTGCCTTTGATCATATCTGCAATTAGATGAAGCATATGATATCCAGTTATCCACCCAAAAAGATGAAGCATATGATACTGCTGAAGTACAAGAATATTAAATTTATGCTGGTTTCTATTCTCACTAACAGGAGAAATAATAGTAAATGAAACAAGACAATTGAAGGAAAATATCAAGGAATTTCACTTGCATTTGCCTTTTTGTGAAACTTGTTTTGTGCCCAGTGGACATGAAATGGAAAGCTACTTGACTTTTTGTGATAAACTCAAGTTTATCTGCACAAGATAGGGGCATAAAAAAACAGAATTTGAAATCTTTTTTTTTTTTTTGTTGAATTAGTCATTTTCTCCCCCTCCTCTCTAGCCCCACTAGACCATTATTCGGCCTTTGCATTATTTCACCTATTACAATGAACCCTTTCTGCCTAGGCATCTTCAAAATTACGCAAAACTTTTCAGGTTCAATTTTTTTCCAAATAACATTACTTGGGTCTATTCCTTATCTCCTTACTTTTGGGGAAGTGAATGCTTCTTTCTGCAACTTAGGTTTATAGAAAGAAATAGAGCTGACACTAAAAGACTTATTTCTTTGTTTACGTTGCAGCAGAAAGGAAAATGGAGAAAAAAGATCCCATTTTCTGAAGATTTTTGTTACATCAGGAAAAAACTTTAGTTGCAGTACTTGTAGAGATTTTTGCTACATCTACTATTTATCTCCAACTATCACATATATAACCATATTTACATGAACAACAACTCAGCAAACCAAGTAAAACAAGAGGCATCTGTTTGTACTGTTACAAGAACAAAATTAGTCACCCTATAATCTTCCCTACGTCCTCCGAAACCCGAAATTTATCCACTCCTCTCCTTCATTTCAGTCAGTTAGCCTACTCTGTTTGCGACAAGGCTAGCGATTAAAATGATCCACTTCAAGAGCTCTCATGGAAGTTGATGGATCGAGACAAGGCAGCAGGGTTTGCATGCAATACTGGGGAGGTTTTATTAACATGGTTCTTTTCATTATTCTTCGACTGGAAGGACTTAAACAAGCCTCCACTACTGTATGTTTCATTCTTGATTCCAAGTGTTGCCCAAATAGAACTTTTTGCAGCTTCAGTTGGGTCATCAATTCTTAGAGTTTTAGGAACTAGAACACATCCATTTTTACGCTTTGGTGATTCCTCTTTCTCCAAATCATCTTGTTTAAGTGCGTCCCCGTCCCTCGAGTGTTTTCCGAGTGTAGGCGAATTAGGACTTGATTGAGCCTTCTGATTTGTTGAAGAAGAAGAAGATTGAGGAGACAATAACGGGATATTCCAACCATAATTCCCAAAGGGAGGATAAAATGACATAGGATATCCTGGAGGGCAAAAAACAGGTGGAGGCAATGCAGAATTCCATGGATAAGGCCATGGAACACCAGGCAGGCATTGAATTGGAGAAGCAAACCCATTAACGTTTTGCATAATATGTTCTTGTTGACAAATCTTGCCTCCTTCTTCCACTGAATTTGAAACTGTAACAGAAGAGGCACTAGAACAATCATCACCATTTTCTCTACCTTTACAAGAACCTAAAATCTTCTTTTGTCCTTCCAAGTTATGAAAACCATTTCGAGTCGCACCATTCAAAACATTCTGATCAGCAAGATTCAACACAGAAGCCATAGAATCACATATTGGTGTATCCAACCCAAAACTAAGGACTCTACCATTAGTTTTCAAGGCAGGATTATGTGTTCCATTAGGAGCTTCAATACGAGCAGCTTGGAGGGCCTCTGAAATAGTTATATGACGATAATGAGACGCAGAGTGCTTATTCTTGCGTCGTCCAGCTCCAACAGGAACATTCCTCATAGTACCACCAGCAGTCCAGTATCTCTGACAGGCTTTGCAGAAATGGCGTGGTTGATTGACATTGTAGTTGTTGTAGTAACAAAATTTAGTATCCATGCTATTACACCGCGGGCAAGGAAGTATTTTGTCAGGCTTCTTGAGGGCTTTTTCTTGTGTTGTTGTGTTTGCTGGATCATTTTGTTCTTTTTCTGTTTCGGAAATCTTTGATTTTGCAGATTCTTCACTGATTGAGGGTGTTTTTGGGTTCTCATTCGTTTCTTGATCAGAAGACTCTTCTGTATCATCTTCTTGTGAAGTTTCTTTAACATTTCCTGCTGAAGAATCCTGAAATTTAACAGAGTTTTCTTTAATTCTTTACATGTTTGAGCTTACTAATTTCAATTTCTGCAAGAACAAGAAAAGGGAACGAATAAAATAATCTCGGGATTCCTCTGTTTCTTGTTATACCCGTGTTGAGGTTTTATTGACAATATCAAACTTTACGTTCAGACTTTGTGAACTTAAAAGAGATTTCTACATTATTAGTCAATTTTCAGCAACAAAGATGCAGACTTATGTACAAAAACCTATGATCATAAAGACAAAACAAATCAGGGAATAATTAAAATGGAAAGAATTGAAGATATTAAAAACCAATAGGAGACATTTGCAATATTTCACACGAAACAAGAAATAGAATCTGCTACTGTATTGCCTTTCTGGTAAGAGGAGAGGTAATTAAAAGGAGATCAATGAAATTTAAACCGTCAAACTTAATTTACAAAATCAAGCATACTAATAAAAACTTCAAAGCATAATCAAATCGACAATTAAAAAGCAAGCAACTTGAAGTTGGATTACTGCTTATCTAATAAAATCTGTGCAGTTGTAAGAAACTCTAATCTTGAACAGTAACCTCAAACTAACTTGAAAGGGAAAATTTTGCAGTGATAAGAGGCTGGAATTCGATAGTGAGAAGTAAATATAACAAATAAACGAAAATGTTAAAATAACTAGGTAGAGAGAAGCTTTGGGGAGAAAATTAACCAAATCTCAGATTTTGAATCCGATGTTTCAAATTTTCGGTTTACAGAGCAAGATGAGAAATTTCTTATTTTGTTTTCTCAGCTTCCAAACGCTAAAACCCAAACCCAATCTGGGAAAGTGAATTAAGAGCCTTTTAAAGTTAAAAACAACTTGAAAAAGTAAAAATCCAATCAAACTAAAAAAAAGTACAAGTTTTGTCAAACTACAAAAAAAGTAACCAAAACTGTCATTTGCAGCTTACCATGTTAAGTAAAGAAAATCAAATCAGAGAAGCTAACAAAAAAAGAAAGCAAAGCGAACCCATTAATTGTTTCAGGATTCTAACAAATGGGTCGTATTTAGATCCCCAAATTTCCACATATATAACCACACTATGTAAATTAGTACCTTCTCTGTTTTCTCTGCTTCGCCTTCTTCTACTCTCTCCCAAGAAGGCAACTCATCGCAGGAGATAGCCGGAGGATCAGAATCCGACTTCAAAGGTATTTTCTTTCCAAAGAGCTTGATAGCAGAATCCTTACTACCAGAATTACTATTATTATTTTCTTGCATTTTCTTTTTCACTTTCTGGGTAAGCAAACAGGCGAAGAAAAACGCGCGAGAGAATTGTTCGCTTTGGCTCGCGTCTTTGTTGGCAATGTAGCATTGAAAGTACTTTGGTGTCTCAGTTTTTGATCCGTTTAAACGAGAAATGGATGCCACGTCAGCATTCTAGTTTGTTTCTCAGCCACAAGTTTATGTGGCCTTGAGATTTTCTTTTTCCTCCTCTTTCCATTTCCTTGAACAGTTCTGTTTTTTGATTTGATTCTATTATGGTTGGACAGAGATTTGGTGCACTGGTTCCGTCCTAGTCAGCCTTTCAGATTTCCTCTTTTAATGACGTGGCAAGTAAATATTGGTTATAAATGGATGAAATGTTCCACGTGGATTCTTGAAAAGTTCTCAGCAAATGCTATCTCTTGAAATTAATTATTGGCCGGGTTTGACAAGACACATGAGCTTTGTTTTTGTTTTTTTTTTATTCCTTTTGATTCTTTTTTTTCTTCACATGGAAAAATAAACAATTGAGGACTCTATTTTCCAAGTATTAAACATAAATAAATATTTCTTAATTCCTTATATGAACACAAGTTTTCAATGAAATCTTTAGATTTCCTTTCAAATAGGCAGCATGATTTTATTTTGTGTAGGCTAATTCAAGACTATGAAACAATTTTATTAATAAACTATATTTATTATATTAATTAAATTTTTGACTTTTTACCCTATATACTATTGTATTACTAAATTATTAATAGTAATAAACTTCAAATTAGCAATTTACTTAAGAAAATATTTCTATTCTTAATAGTCAATTGTTATTTTAAAAAATTACAACTTCTTACATTATTTTTTCTCCTTTCCTTCAATGAAAAAACACTAATATCTTCAGTTATATTAATTGCATTAAATATTTCAACAGCAGATTTGTAGTTTGCTTCTTCATTTTTATTTACTCCAAATGTGTTGGACAATAACTTTTTAAATAGCTTTTACCAATTAAAACGTTAAACACTACTTTAAAAATTATTCGATAACATAGTGTTTGAACTAACTTTTAAAAATTAGTATAGCGTTCTGTGAAAAATTAACTCATTTACTGTTTAGCTTTTCATGAAAAATTATTCAAACAACTAATAGCTCTCAAAATAGCTAATTTTACCGAATAGACCCTAAACAAACATAACTCCTGGGAATTTCGCTCAACAACTATTTAAGTTTGAAAAGGAGTTTATTAGTCCCCTACCTAACATTTACTTGCGAAATCATTAGGTTCCAGTCCAATGCTCTCTTTGTTAAATATATTGAAGCTTTGACTAAATATATTTATTTATTTGCAAGTTAAAAGCCATAATTTGGTCCTCACATATAATCAAATTTAGTCAAAGTTAAACTGCTTTTTGCTTCCATATCATATGGTTGAGAAATTTATTTAATTAATAGTATTACTATAATTATTAATTGGGCGATGCTTTAATTTATTACTCTCTCATCCCTTAAAACTACACTTATTTTTATTTCTATACACTTAAAATAAAAAGTTAATCAATATAGTTTAAACAATTAAATTTTTCTAATTTTTTCTTACCATTAGTTTGTAAGAACGTGCACCTTATCTATAATCGTTGTTCATACTTGTAATATAATACTTTTTGATATAAATTCATATTTATATATGAGGATTCGTCATTGAATTCAAATATTAATCCTTAATAATATTTCTCTTTTTTATTAAATTTTGATATTAAAATATAATTTTTCTTATTTTAAATATTAGATACAAATATTAATCATCATTGTCATTATAATAATTAAAATTAAGTATTAATCATTCAATTTTATAATTTAGTTATAGTATTAGGATTATAATGAAGTTCAAATATTAGTCCTTTTAATTTCAATTATCAAATATTAACATTTACGATTTCTAAATGAGCTCGTAATTAAGTTCAAATATTAGTTTTTCAATAAATCGATTAGTTATGAGATAGGTTTTTCCTAATTCAAAAAATCTTTGAATGAAAAAAAGTGGTTCCAAATCTTATGTTTAAGCCATATATTGCACATAGTCAATATAAATTTTTTAAAAAATAATCAAATTTTATATAAAATTTTAATATATAATTATTAAATTTCATAAAATTCAATATTTAGATTTGTAATTTTCTATTTATGTCTAATTTTACTATTAAAAATGAGACCTTCCATGTCTAAAATGGTCAAGGGAATTCTTTTTATTCAATTGCAATTAGAAAAAAACCTAACAAGTCTATGATGTTCAGGCTTAACAGCAAAGACAAATATCATTTATGTCTGAGTTTAAACTTCACTTTCACCCCTTTAATTTGCAATCTCGTTAAATTACTAAATAGAGAAAAGTTGCAACCAAATATAGAAAATCGATCTATATTTAAATAAAAGAATCAGCTATATCAACTAGTTGTCTATAATTTTACCGTAAGCAGTATATTATATTTTTATATAGCAAACCATCTATTAAAAAAGTGACAATCTTCCTTCTACAAAGTGCAAAATTATAGCAAATTTAAGATTCCGTTTATTTCGGCACAATAATTTATTTTTTGAAAAAAAAATTTCAGAATTTATTTTCTATTATTTGATTAAAATATTGAAAATTAGTTTAAAGAATATTAAAAATCTACCATTTAATAAAAATTTTGATTATTAATACTAAGGTAAGAAGTTTTTAACATATTGTTGACAGCCAACTCAAAAATTATTTATAGTGAAATTCAAATAAATTGTTGACAATGAAAAGAAATAAACTTTGCGTTGATATGTATTTTCTCCAGAGAAAATAAACATATATACTGTGATATAATAAGTCAAAACTTTCATAATAGGATTTTAAGTTTTTAAGTAAGATTGGACAAAATATCCCAATTAGGATTGATAATATATACTTAATTTAATATTTATGAAAGATAATTTAATCTTATATCACGTTAAATGATATCTATAAGATGTGTAATATCGATATCAATAATTTAAATTATATTCGATTTATTATATTCTTTACGTTTGTCAAAATCTTTATATTATATATTTTAGTTAATGATTTTTTAATTAAAACAATTTCCTTAGTATGCCTTTAAATTCTTAAATTAAAATTTATAAATTACAATATTTTATAATAATAATTTTTTTATTTTATTTATTAGGCAATAAAATTTAGATTTAAAAATTAAGTGCCTAAGGCCTCCCTCCTCCTTGTTATTACGATACATAATTTAAAAATCAGATCCGCAGGACCGCAGCACATGGCTTCAGCCCTCACCTCATACTTTTCTTCTCTTATTTTTTTTTTTTTTCCCCAGAAGTGGGAAGCATTACAATTGAAATCTCCACTAATCAATTGTAAATAATGTTCCCCTAAATTTAAAAATAAAATGTATTAGGTCATAAAACAATAAATTAAAAATATAAAAATGCCAATCCACGAGCCATCACGTGCATAGTATAATCGCAACCACATATCTTAATCCTTAATAACTGGAAGTCACAAGGAACTGTAACATTGATAACTTATCAAAAAAAAAAAATTATAGGAGTTTTAATAATCACCACTTAACTGGAATTCAACTTTTCTAGGAATCTAATGTTTTAAAAATTATTGGAATCTAATTTAAGTAAAAGAAAATTAAAGATTTAATATCCAATCGTGAGATAGCAATTAAATTTAAACAAATATTTTTTTTAAAAAAAATTATAAATTAGAATAATCACATATTTTGTTGTATAACTCTGTTATAGCAGACGGATTTTCTTTTCTTTTATTTTATATTCACTTTGCATATAATAATAATGGCATATAAAGTATATGCTATACGGACAATTCATACAGTGCTAATAATAGTAGTAAAATAATTAAAACGCGTTTTGTCGCCACATCAGCACACGACATTTTCCAACTCGGTCCCACTTCTAAAATGCTTTTCTCCTCTACTTAACTTACATTCGTTTCTATCTTACACGTGTCCTTCCTGATAACACGTGTACCAACCCTTCGTGAGTTTCTATGTTCTTTGTTTAAGGGGGTACCCTTTTGAATGACGCGTGTCCACCACTTAGAAATATTTTATGAAGAAAAAGCAGTAATTGGTCCACGTAATTGAATAGATAAAGAGGTATCCGACATGGAACCTTTTTTGATCTTTCGGTGTAAAAAAGGTCAAGCCCATTTTGTTTTATTTTAATTAGATACTTAAGTAAGAGTATTTAACTTGCGAATAATTCATTAATTTAATCAAAATGTCTAATTCAGAGGTTCCTTTAGATATTAAAGTTGTAGTTTGTTAATGAAGGACGGCCGGGTGGTCGGTTTAAGATATGAGATTTGTAGTTTTATAATCGTTATTAAGACTAATCTTGATTTGGACACGTAATTTTCTTTTTGATTAATCTTAAAATTAATACTTTAAGCTAAAATGTTGATAGATATGGGTTTTGAATGTTATAATTTTTGGGCTATGCAAAGCCCATAGTTGCTAGTGGTGGCCTCAACACTAAGTTTGGTAATATATTCTCCCTCGTCTCATATACATAAATTTACCTTGACTTTTAGGTAGATTAAGAAAAATTAGAATTAAAAAAAATATTTTTTATTTAGCTTTTTCCAAAATGATACCTTTATAATATTAAATGATATATGTATAATTAGGAATAGAGATGTACATTAAATATGGGTATATTAAGAAATTACATAATAATTGATATCTTAAAAAATGAAATAGGACTACATTTTGGGACTTGCAAAAAAAAAAAAAAAAGTGAGCCTATATATATATAGAGCGGAGTAAGTATATTTTTTTCTCATAGTTAACGTAGGAGTATGTAAAACTATCGATAGAACTGAATCGAAAAGCAAACTGATTCATTTTGATTTAGTCAGCTATTTCAAAAGGAGGTTCATTTATCAATTTATTCGATTATTTATCATTTGGTTCGAATATATTTTATAGAATTTTATATGTTGGGCTTAAAACCGAATCAACATGGTAACAACCGATTAAAATCGTCCAAACCGATTTATTTGGTTCAAATGCTAAATTTAATTCATCGTCAACACTTTTTCATAATCCAATTGATGGTTTGCTCACCTGCAGTTACAGGGAAAGGGAAAAGGGGTGGTGGATCCAAGTATAACTCGTGTAAACTTGTAAAGCATGAGAAAGAGTACCATTGGAACCCTCATCTACTTGGTAGTTAAAAACATATGATGTATAATTGTCAAAATCAAAAGAAAAACTTCCGATTAGTTTGCATGTTTTTCAAGTGAATGCTATACTACTTGTGTGAAGTGGGCCTATATAGTTTTTGGGCCTGATTTATGGGTTGGACATATCCTTTTCATTTTTATTTACTATTTTCCATCATAGGTCCAATTTATTAAGAAGAGAAATGAGCTAATTGAGCTCTTTTGCTTGGCCCATTACATTGTTTCGTCTTTTTCATCGTCCAAACCGATTTATTTGGTTCAAATGCTAAATTTAATTCATCGTCAACACTTTTTCATAATCCAATTGATGGTTTGCTCACCTGCAGTTACAGGGAAAGGGAAAAGGGGTGGTGGATCCAAGTATAACTCGTGTAAACTTGTAAAGCATGAGAAAGAGTACCATTGGAACCCTCATCTACTTGGTAGTTAAAAACATATGATGTATAATTGTCAAAATCAAAAGAAAAACTTCCGATTAGTTTGCATGTTTTTCAAGTGAATGCTATACTACTTGTGTGAAGTGGGCCTATATAGTTTTTGGGCCTGATTTATGGGTTGGACATATCCTTTTCATTTTTATTTACTATTTTCCATCATAGGTCCAATTTATTAAGAAGAGAAATGAGCTAATTGAGCTCTTTTGCTTGGCCCATTACATTGTTTCGTCTTTTTCAGGAACAGCAGGTAGCTAACGTTTTGAGCAATTTTTTTATATAATTTAAAATTAAAAATTTGAATAATATCGTCTTCAAAACAAATCGAAATAATAAATGAGATTTTGTTGACTATAGTAATCTCAACACTAGAGAATTTCAATACTGTTCCCAGAATATGAAAACACACGTAAAATACAAATTAAAAAAAAGAAAATTTTAAAAATAATTTTACTTTTTTGTATTAGGAAAAAAAAAAAAAAGTTAACTGAGACGATAAAAGAACCATTTTTGTATGAAATAAATCACAGCAATATAAATCAATTTAAATTATGCAAGAAAAATCTTTTTATTGTTTCAAGCAAACCTTATGAAATTGTGGTAAGAAATTTAATTGAATATCACCCTAGTTTAAATATAAAAATAAAAATTTTAACAACTATTGTTGTTAGTATCAAAAGGTATATAATATTATCAAAACTTATAACTTTAAGTGCAGAATAAGTCATTTATAAAGTTTAGAGTTTCATAAGGTTGAAACTACAGAGTTCGGAGATGAATTTATGTATTCCACCGTATGCAATTAAAAAATATAAATTAAGATAATAATTTTTATTTATTTTTATATAAAGAAAAAAAATTATGTAAGTTAACTGGAGATTGGATGACAAATCCCAACATATAAATTCTTTTAATCACGTGTAGAAAATCTTTTTATTGTTATTATTATGATGGTTGAATAATTAAATATGATTGGAGGGAGTAACTCATCTTTTTCTCATGTACTAAATCCATCAATAAGAATCAAACATGTGGAATTCCAAAATTTAGAAGAGGCAAGATAAAATATGTTGATATAAGCTGTAGATATACGTACCCGCAGTTTCCAAGAGCTGACTAAAGCTTTTTTTTTTTTTTTTTTTTTTTTTTTTTTTTTTTTTCCAAAGAAGATATGATGAGGCATTGAAGTTAATGGCTACTAGCTAATAAAGTGATAATTGCCTTTGCCTATACGTTATAGTTCTAAAAAATATAAACTTTTAAAAATTATTATCGTTCTAATCAAATATTATTTTATATTAATTTAATCCATAAATAAACTCATCAAATTTAAATAAGTCAATATCAAACTTTAATATGTACACCATTTTGCAATTTTGCACTCAAAAGCTTTCTACCCATTAGGGTAGGGGTTATGACTTATGACTTATTATAGCCTCTCTTTTAGTTTAGCCACTACCTTTTTAAGTCTTTGTTGTTATAACCATAATGCTCTTGTCGTTTAATTTATATTCTGTTCATCTGTATAAGACAGCTAAAAAAAAAAAAAAAAAAAAAAATCTGTATAAGAAGCTAAAAAAAAAAAAAAAAAAAAAAAAATTCAAAACTATTCAAGAATCATAGAAATTTCAGTTTGTTGAATTTGCAAATACGTTTTCCGTACATATAAAAAAAAAAAAAAAAAAAAAAATTCAAACATCAAGAATCATAGAAATTTCAGTTTGTTGAATTTTGCAATACGTTTTCCGTACATATATATATAGTTCGTAAAAGAAAATTAATTTATAGTATTACATTTACATGAAAAAAAAAATATATATTGTCAAGTGCATGCATATTACAATATATTTAGTGACAATGACAATTGAAATATTGCTTTATATTACATTTATATTTTGATTTACCACCAAGAAAAAAAAAAGAAAAGAAAATATGCTACTTTAATGGGGAGAAATTCATGCTCTGCTCCCACATTTCAAATGAATTAAAGGAAATAGAGGAGTAGTGCCTCAGACTTTTAATTTCTGAGTCTCACTTTTCATGGATGTGAGCCTTTGATGAGTATCCCTCAAACTTTCTTTGAGCTCTAATGATAACAGTTTCCACTACACCTTGACTAAAATTTAGTGCAAAACCTTATTATATGTTGCCATATCATCATTCTTTTGTCATCCTCCACTTGCATAGTGTGCTCCATCTTTCTTCACTATCATCTTTGCTTAAATTGTCAATTATACATTTATTATAAATTTTATAATTTTCAACTATCTTCCTGGTCAATGACAAAATGTCTCCACAAATGCCTTAATAATTAAGTTTTCGTACATAAAAAATGCTTAAATTTTATATGTATGAATAATTTTTTAATGTCTCAATAGATATTAATTTTTATTTTATTTTAACTAGTTTTGAACCGCGAAAGCAAATACTCTCTAAATAACAATCTCTACCACATTTACTTAATTAAGTTTCTATATATTTTATATGGTTGAAATACTAAAAATATTATGTTCCCATTGCGTTTTGACTTTGGGAAATATATATAGTGTTAAATTTCTGTAACAACACAAACATCCAGGAAAATCTATATGGTGGGGTGTAAATGTATCAATTGACAACTTTTTCTTACTGAGAAGCAGTTTCATTTATATATATAACAACAAGCAACTTCTTGTCCTTGGAAGAAAGTTTGTTCTTGCAATGGCAGGCACTACTTCTCTCTTGCACTTAATAGTAATATTTTTGGGAATTTCTCACTTTATCTTCTGCAATAATGCTATCCCAATTACAAGTATGTCTCCATTGACTCCCATTTCAACAAATTCTTCTTCTTCTTCTTCTTCTTCTTCTTCTTCTTCTTCTTCTTAAATCTTGCAATTTCTTATTTGTCTTATATTGATTTGCAGGAATTGGAAGGTTAGTGCAGGATCCTCAAATTCATCCAGTTCAAGAAAATATCCACATGGTACTTACTAACAAAACAAATAGTAATCTTTAGGCTTAACTAATATCTGCTATAAACTATTGCTTAGGCTTAATACATATGAACATTTCATTTCTATCATTTACAGGCAAGTAAGGAGGAAAGCCAGGAGGAAAACATGATGAATCTTGATGGGAGAATGGTTATGGAGCTGAATGATTACCCGGGATCCGGCGCCAATCACCGCCACACGCCATGGCCACCGCAATTGGGAAGATCATGTGCTGATTGCTAGTTTCTGAGTCTAGAATAATCATTAGATATAGTAATAGCTAATATTGGCGAGTTGTGGGCAGACACAGAACTAAACTTGCTCACACCTCAAGATTCTTAGGAAGTTATATTTATTTATTTATCTCTTATGGCGATTTGGGAAGTTGATATCCATCTATACATATTAATTACCAGAAAGCTACATGTGGAAACTAAGCTGTACTGATTATAAAGATACATATATATATTATGTATGAGAACTCTTGAGAGAGTTTTAGCTACTGGTTTGTAAGTTGTAAGCAAGTTTTTTCTCTCATTTACATGTGATTGGATTTCTGTGGTGGATTCATGTGATGATAGTTTTTTTTTTTTTTTTTTTTTTTTTGGCTCTCAGTTTTTTTTTTTTTTTTGGCTCTCGATTTAACTTTTCTTGTCAAGTTGATATTACTATAATTTGCCTTGATCCAATTATTCATTCCTGAATTACATGTCACATCGTTAAAGATGTGATTAAGAATGAGCCAAAGAAAAACATGATTAAGATATTCATTTCTATTGATTTTGGACTTGTTATCAATTTTTTTTTTCTCTTTTTTTTAATTACATAAAAAGGTCTTTTTCTTTTAATCTTTTTTTGTTAAAATAATCAAATAATTCACGTAATGTGAGATTAATCGGATTTGATAATGGTAAATTTGTTATAAATTATTGATATTATTAATTAAATTAAATAGATTTATGGATAAGAAACAAGTACTATGTTCCATCATGAGATTTGAAAATAAGTTATCGACTTCTTGACTCTTAACTAGGGTTATTAACAATTACATGAAATGGAGAAGGGGGAAGTGATTGTTTGCGTGAAGTAATATACAATTAGGACTAGACTATCAAAATGCTTGAACATCAACCCTTAAAACGGGTCGTTTTTATATGTAATCGGTACTTTTATCCTTGTTTTGGGGCAAAAAGACAAAAAAGAAGAATAGAAAATTAAAGTCATTTTCCCATATAAAGTCAACTATAGATGTCTATCTTTCCTTTCCTTGCACAACCAATCCTAAACTTCTTAAGCAGAAAACAAGATGATTAGGGAAAAATACAACAAATGAGAACACCATGCACACATAAGCTGCCTTTTGCTTGATGAAAATGCATGAAAATGCAAATTATTGGGATTGAACCATGATATGATTCTTGAAATCACGACCGCTAAATTGACTTTACCCTAATTTTGAAAGAAAAAAGGCAAATAAGAAGAATAAAAATAGAACTTGCTTTCCATAATTTAGGATTAAACAACCAAATTTTATATAAAATTAAAGTCCTTTTAAGTATAATTTATCTAAAAACACAAAACATGCTGCTGTTAGGTAAACCACTAGAAAGAAAGGTTTTGCAAAGTGCATTGCAATTTACATTTGCTTTGTGTTCAAGTGGAGAAGGTGGAATTGTGAGTTGGTAGGCACATTCACTGCCTTTTTCCCAATTCAATTTTGCCGTATTTGGTCATTTTTGTACAAATGGACACCTAACATTCATGAATTAGATTTGAGACATATAATCTTATTAAAAATTTAACCGTATCTAACATTAAAATATGGGATTTTAGTGTTGTGGAGATAGAACTATGGGAACTAATGCAAAGGTGTCCATCGATATTGAAACGAATGGAAAAAATATGTATCATCTGCGAAAAGAAAATGTTCTTTGCAAATTAAATAATGTAGGGGAATTACGTAAACTTTAAATTAATATGTGAAATGTGAACATCTCTAATTAAAGATAATCATAGCTTTTTATAGTGTATGTAAGATCTATGGACCTCTTATCGAGTCTGTAAATGTCTGGATATGAATTCATCTTATCTCTACCTATTTCAGGTGTGCTGCATGTCTGATTAAGGTAAAATTCCATTCTTAGCGGGTATATGCTCAAATTATTAGAAGATTGAAATTTGCATTGCATCCTTAAATAACAACAAACGAAAAGTAATTAAATTATATGAATTCATATACATAATATGACAATAAGTAATATATGTATAAACTCAGATTCGAATCTTCTCTCAATATTCCAAAAAAAAGAAAACAATAGTTAAACAATTAGATGCTTCAATATCTATAATGAAAATTAATGGAAGAAAAAAAAAAAAAACTTGTTTCTGCTCAAATATTTATATTTTAAAGGTCGAATCAATATTCTGGTATTATCCCTGAGGAGATGGGGCAGGGAGTGGTGCAGGAGATGGACCACTTGTATCATTAACACGTAAAAATCCAAATTTCTTAATGAGCTCATTTGCAATCAACTCATTTGCCTTATCTGATGGATGGTACTCATCCCAAAACACATACTTGCTTCTGTCTTTGCACAATCTTGATGCTGGAACACATGTCAAAGCTGGCCTTATTCTTCCAAACGAGCAACATGGTGAATCCGAGTTAAGAAAGCCTGCAAATTGCACAACAAAATCATAAGCTTTTCTAATTTAAGAAAGATTGAACGATTTTATAATTGCATGAAAATGCAGTATTCTATTTTTGATCTGACAGAATCTGAACAGTTCATCATGCAATTCGATAAAAATAAAAATCTGCTTACCATATTTAGTTGGATCGGTTATAACATCATTAACAACATCATAAGCATCTCCAAATTTGAAGCTTGCATTAGGAAGCTTAGCGTTTAAATCATTTATTAAATTGCCGGTAGCTTTATTAAAGCCAAGGGCTAATTTGTTAGTTCTTTCTTGACATTCTCCAGATGTACTTAACACCCTTTGGAGAGGAATACAGCCCATTGGTCCTAGCCCAAACACCATCAGCTGCCTTGCACCTAAACTATGCAATGTCTGTATGAACATTTAAAAAAAAAAAAAATTGAAAAAATCCCATTAGAAAAATTAAAACTTAATTATTCTTTTTTTTTTGTTAATTATAAATTTAAGTTACCTTAAGTTGTCCTCCAAGTGTTTCCATTAAATAGTTAATGAAACCTTGATCATTATACTTCCATGAGTCACTATAAACTGGCATCAAGTAATTGTTAATGAAGTCATTACTTCCTAAAGCAACCACATATCTAGCTTCTTGGAAGAACTTATTTGCTTCTTCTTCACCAATTCTGGCTATGATCAATCGCTGTGTTCCTTCAAATAACTCGATTTGCTTGTTGAGAGAAAACCTTTGAATCTGCAACCATTTTTATTAAGTTTTTATTGTGATCATATACGAATTGTGAAATTATGAATTTAAACTCTATTTAAACCGAATGAAAAATTGAAAAAAGGAGGAAATAATGACTTACAAACAAGCCACCAGTTTCATTCAAAATCCCACCACCACCAGAGGCATAATTTACACCATTGTCTAAAATCACATCTTCTGTTAAAGATGGATCAAGAAAAGCTGGTGGCCTTGGCAAACCCATGTTGTCACCTGCATAAAATAACAAAAGAAGATTATACGTAAATTGAAAATTTAACAATGGGCAAGTGATTATTAATTAAAACCAAAATGATTTTAATTAGTTAATAATTACCAATAATATCAGCAACAGTGCGGCCATTACTAAACCTTCCATTGGGCAGGCCATTTCCAAAATCAATACCATACCAAGGCAAGCTGGCCTGAGCAAGACTTTTGGGAAGGTTCATATTGTTACCCACGTCTGATAATGAATCTCCGAAGATAAATTGCACGATCTTGCATTGGCATCCATTAATTGCGAGACCCAGTAATATGGCTACAATTAGTATAGCTAACTTCATGTTTGAAAAACAAGTTGGTTGTGCTTTGTTTATGTGTTTGAGAAAGATTTTGGGTTTGGATTTTAAACAAGTGTTTGAAGTTGGAAACAGTGAGACAAGAAAAGTTCAGGATGGTTGGATGAACCAACTGTTTAGTCATTCAAACCTACTGCAACTACTTTTGCTAGATTGTTACAACGGCTGTAAACAGCAGTTGCTGGCTAATAGATTTTTTTCTTTTGACAGTTAATTAGTTGAACTTGCTAATATGAAAATATTGGACTTTGAAATATGAAATTAATTCCAATACAACTCCACCAAAGTTTATGGGTACGTAGCTGTTTAGTTACTAATATACCATTAATGTAACCATAAAGATTGTAAATCTAAAATCTGAATTATTATTGATGGGATATTCGTGAAATTTATTTTTTGAATTTTTTATGATGAGTTTACCTATTTTTTTTTTTTTTTTTTGGTCTACAATTTAAGTATAGCTAACTTCATGTTTGAAAAATACAAGTTGTTGTTGCTTTGTTTAATGTGTTTGAGAAAGATTTTTGGGTTTGTGTATTTTAACAAGTGTTTGAAGTTTGTTGGATAAAGCAGTGAGACATAGAAAAAGTTGCAGGATGGTTGGATGAAACCACTGTTTTAGTCATTCAAACCTACTGCAAACTTACTTTTTTGCTTAGATTGTTTAGCAAACGGCTTGTAAACCAGCAGTTGGCTGCGCCATAATAGATTTCCTTTTCTTTCTTCGACAGTTAAATTAGTTGACACTCTCTGCTAATTATGAAAATTTATTGTGCACTCTTGTAAATATGAAATTAATTCCAATACAACTCCACCAAAGATATATATGGGTACGAGATAAGCTGTTTTAGATTACATAATATACCATTATGTACCAATAAAGATTGATAAAAATCAATAAATCCTGATTATTATTGATGGGATATTACAGTGAAATTTATATATTTATGAAATTTTTTTAATGATGAGTTTACACCTATTCTTTTGTTTTTTCTTTTTTATTCATTTTCTTGTTATATAAAGTGTCTCAAATTCTAGAATGTAGTATTTCTTCCTCGTATAACATGATATATGTTTTTTTGGTCAATAAATTGAACTCTTGTTGAAAAGGACGTTTTTAACATAATGCCACTCCTGTTATTAAATATATGTAATATTATAGCATAAATTTTAAAATATAAAGTTCACGTTTTTTTTTTTTTTTTTTTTTTTATTCATTTTCTTGTATAAGTGCCCAAAATCTAGAAGAGATTTCTTCCGATACATGATAAAGTTTTTGTCAATAAATTGAACTCTTGTTGAAAGGAGTTTTTACAAAGCCACTCCTGTATATTAAATTATGTAATATTATAGCAATAAAATTTTAAATATAGTTCACTCTTTTTTATGAGGTAGGGATTCTAAATTTTACAATTCATTGCAATTCCTTGTTAATTTACAATTGCACCAAATTTACAAATTGGGATATTTTCAATCTTTTGTACCTCTAAAAATACAATGTTTTTATTCTGATATTTTTACTGTATTGAAGCAATGCTCAACAATCAATATAAGAATTTTTTTTTATATAATTTTTCTATTATGATTTTCTATTACTTTTGGTAAAAATCATATTCTGAAAAAACATTTATATGGGAGTCATTTGTATATGGGATTGTTTATTCTTGTCCAACAATATACAATAAAGATTGGATGTGACAATGGTAATTAATTTCATCCAATATCTCAAAATGTCCAAAAAGAAATTTCATTAAATCTAATCTTTAATCAAATTGGGTGAAAAGTTCCTAATTTATAAATTAATTTCAATACAAAATTGACAACTTTAATCATTCAAAATTCATTTCCACAATATTATTGTGAAGGAAACTGTCAAGAGAAAAATTTAGATGGGTTGATAAGAACAACTTGTGTAATTTGATAAAACTTTTAATGTATTATTTATTATTTATTATTGTTAAAATAAATTGATTATTTAGTTCTAAAAAATAAAAAAAAAACCATTAATTTTTTCAATTTCAAACATAATGCAATTAATTTCTAAATTTTATTTTCAGATAAATTTGAAAAATAAAAGAGTGCAATTTTCATAATATGTAAAAAGATTTACTAGTTTTCTCTCAGCTCCCAATTGATTTTCTAAGCTTCTTGTCCTAATCAGAAAGATTGAAGTTGTGAAAAGGCTGAAAGCCCAGGACACATAGCAAGAGAGAGGGTGATTTTGTTGGGTGGGCTCCAATTTTCAAAAGCCTTTGCAGCTAAACAAGACAAGACTGATAGTATCAGACTAGCCCAAATACAGCACAAACTAATAAAAACCTTCGTTTAGTCATTTTATCGAAGAGTTTTTACTAATTCAGCGTGTGAATGGAAAAAAATTATTTCTACGGTATTATTTCGATGCAATAACTTATTAATAAAATTACAAAAATATTATGAAGAAGAAAATAAATATTTTTGTAAAGGCAAAATATATAATTTAATTTCTGAATTTTAATAAAAAATTTTATGGTAACTTAAAATTTATTTTTTTTAATAATCTCATGTCTTTTTATATTAAAAATACTAAATTTTAAGATTTTTGGTTTATAATATTGATTAGATATACGTTTAGGAAAATTTTAGTCTCGATCTTAATCATCACTTTTGCAGGATGTCTCTTAGGTGAATCAAAATAAAATCTGAAATGACCATAAAAAGCCTTCACAACGTGGCACAACATGAGCCACTTGCTCAACATGAAAAAACTACTAAAATTCCTAAACTATCACACTAAAGTACAATAATTCACCACATCCCCCACAATCTATCCAAATCCAATCCCCGCGCTTGATTTTCTTCATCCAACGGCCACTTTCCCTTGATATCCTTAACCATATCCACTGATGAACTCCTTGCAAAATCTCAACTGCCAAACACAACCCACAAAAACCAACCCTATACTTCTGGCTCTCACTCAGTCATTCCTCAAACAAAATGACTTCCTCCATTGTCTTCAAGTCCTTCACCGGACTCCGTCATTCCTCCGCTGCAGAACCACCCAAATTCCACTCCCAAGCCACCGCCATTTCTCCTCCCAACCACCACCGCCGCTTACAAATAACGGCCAGCAAATTCAGCCCCAAGCTTCAAAACCGCAACCTTCGAGTTGCCATAGTCGGCGGTGGCCCTGCCGGTGGAGCAGCCGCTGAGACTCTGGCGAAAGGTGGTATTGAGACGTACCTAATCGAACGCAAGCTCGACAACTGCAAGCCATGCGGCGGAGCTATTCCTCTTTGCATGGTTGGCGAATTTGACCTTCCGTTGGACATCATTGACAGGAAAGTGACCAAAATGAAGATGATTTCACCTTCTAACATCGCCGTCGACATTGGACAAACACTGAAACCTCATGAGTATATTGGGATGGTGAGGCGCGAGGTATTGGATTCTTACTTGCGAGAGAGAGCAGCAAGTAATGGGGCTAAAGTTATTAATGGATTGTTCTTAAAAATGGATATTCCAAAGGGTGGTAGGGGCAGCGACACTGCACCGTATGTCTTGCATTATACAGAATACGATGGGAGGAAAGGCGCGACAGGTGAGAAGAAGACTCTAGAAGTTGATGCGGTGATTGGCGCTGATGGCGCCAATTCTCGTGTTGCCAAGTCCATTGGTGCCGGTGATTATGACTACGCCATTGCTTTTCAGGTATTTTAATTAGACGCCAAATTTCACAGGTTGGGGTTTCTGTGGATGATACTTGATTAGGCCCAATTTGAATAAAAAGAGCCAACATTTAGCATCTGAACACAATTTCTAGCTAAAGTTAGGCTAGGGTTTGGTTTGTTGAGCGGTAATGGAAATTAGATTAACATTTCAAAATCTTAAGTTAAACTATTTAAAATTATGATGAAACATTTAGTAAAAACTGGGTGTTGGCTGATAAATCTCGGGTGAAAACCCTAGTCAGAGCCAATGTAATAAAGAAATTTACCAATTTGTTTTTTCTTGAAAATTTTACCATAATTTGCATATATAATTAATATATGCAGGAGAGAATCAGAATCCCAGATGAAAAAATGGTGTACTATGAGAACCTAGCAGAAATGTATGTTGGTGATGATGTTTCACCAGACTTCTATGGATGGGTTTTCCCCAAATGTGACCACGTAGCTGTTGGAACTGGCACAGTGACTCACAAAGGGGATATCAAGAAATTTCAATCAGCTACAAGAAACAGAGCCAAAGACAAGATTCTTGGAGGCAAGATAATTAGAGTTGAAGCGCATCCAATACCAGAGCACCCCAGGCCACGCAGACTATTAAACAGAGTAGCATTAGTAGGTGATGCAGCAGGGTATGTGACAAAATGCTCGGGCGAAGGCATTTATTTTGCTGCAAAGAGTGGAAGAATGTGCGCGGAAGCAATCGTTGAAGGTTCAGAGAATGGAAAGAGAATGGTAGATGAAAGTGATCTGAGGAAGTATTTGGAAAAATGGGATAAGACTTATTGGCCTACTTACAAGGTTTTGGATGTGTTGCAGAAAGTTTTCTATAGATCGAACCCAGCAAGAGAAGCATTTGTGGAGATGTGTGCAGATGAGTATGTGCAGAAGATGACATTTGATAGCTATTTGTATAAGAGGGTGGTTCCTGGAAATCCTTTGGATGATATTAAGTTGGCCTTGAATACAATTGGAAGCTTGGTTAGGGCTAATGCTCTTAGAAGGGAAATGGATAAGCTCAGTGTATGAGTAAGAACATGTAATTAAATTTTTAATTAACCACCACCCACTTGTTTGAGAAAGAGAAACTATGCTAGCTTTTATTTGTTTTTTCCCCGTCTTGTGTACTATATTTATAATTTTGCATAATTGATTAGCAAAATTATCACATTCTATTATTGTTGTGTTTTTATCAAGCAAGCTTTGTCTAGGGATTGAACTTGCAAGTTTGTTGTTTTGAAAATGATTTAGATCAAAGCTCATTGATAGAAGCTTGAATTTTTTTTTCTTCTTTTTTAACTACAATATATTTGGAGATGGCTTTGATGTAATTGTAAAGTTACTTTGACATTGGTTGAAGTATATTGTTTGATCCAATTAGGATGGTTTAATTGGTCTTTTTTTTTCATGTATGAAGAGTGGAAGGTTTCGAATTTAAATCATAATTATAAGAGTTTTTACTAATTTGGTGGACTAAGAGAGAGCTACACAAACAAAGAGATGGTTTCTCTACAAATCATTTCTTCTTGAGATCTATGAATGTGGAATCATATTTTAGAATATTTTAGAACTTGGGCATCGGGTTAAATTACATTTCTTCTTAGATATTTAGAGTTTGATAGATTGAAGTCTAACTAAGGAATGAATGTTTATAGGTTCTTTGTTTTAGTATTGGTTAGAGAAAAATTGTGATGGATTACATGTTGTGATTGGCTGATTGCAACGGAGATATTAAAAATTGACCTAAAAAGTGTCCCAAAGATCAAGCGATTAGGCAACTAATCATGTAATTGATTTCTTAATTAGAAAAGTGTGATTTTGATTTTGATTCAAAAGCCATTCGACTTTTATTGCAAGGCTCAATGATTTAAGCAAAGGTCAAGTTTGGTAATTTTTATTTTATGGGTTTGGTAGCATTTCTTTACGATTATTGTTCTTAATAATAATGAAATCACACTTATACCCTAATCTTTCAATTCTATATTCTAATCCTTAAAATTCTAAAACTTAAACATTAACTCTAATTTTAAAATCCTAAAAATTTAAAATCTTTAATTTTATTATTTTTTATAATTTATCCGTCTACAAATAAATGTCACATTTATCACTTTTCTCGTTCTTTAAAAAAACCATTTAAAAATATATTATATTATCCTTATTTACAATAAATGGAGATTTTTGAGAATTATAATAATTAATATTCGTCATTTGTAAAGGATTTTAAAACGAGAAAAAAAATATTATTTTTAAAATTTATAAATGTGATACTTATTTCTTTTACAAATAAAATATTAATTTTATTGAAATGACATATGAAAATAAAAGGCAATATTCATATATAATTTCCTTTTTTAATTCAAATCACATTGAACAAAAACTTCCATCTAATCAAAGTTATTACAAATTATTTGGTCATCCACCTTAAGGCTGTCGTTTTCCTTGCCATTTTTATTTGATTGTTACGTTTTGTTTATATTCTCTTACCATGTATACATGACAAACCATTGAAACCAACTTCTTTAAAAAGAAATTACAAATTTATTGAAATTCTTAACTTAATGCTTATTTATTTAAAATAATTTTTTAAAAATTAATTAGATTCTGATTGAAATTGAAATTTATAATTTCATAATTTAAAAAATATTCGGTAATCATTAATTATAAGAGCATACAAACAATTGGTTCGATTTAAATCCTAATAAAACCTGAATAAATTAAACAAAAGCAAACTTTTGAAATGAAAATAAACAGAATCAAATAATTTAACAAAACTAGTTTCATTACTTGAGCTTTTAACCTTTTTTTTTATTATTATTTTCAACTTATTTAGGAGCTTCATGAGAACTAAACTAAAATAAAATTTCAATTTTTAGGTATTAAAACTAAATCAAATTTTATAAATATAAATCAAAACAATTTGATTAAATTCAACCGATTCGATCAGTTTGTCCAAAGCATGCTTAACCTTAATTAATTAGTTATTAAAAAAAACTTTGATGAAAGAAACTCAAAATTCACATAACTTTGTAAATGATATTTTAATTTCATTGAATTTAAATGAAACAAAAATATCATTAAATTAAAAACTCACGGGAGTCCTCTGAAAAATTATATATTAAAAGAAAAATCTCATGTAAGATGTACCGAAAGAAAAAGGAAAGAAAAAGCTAGGACGAAATTATGGTCTATGGAAAGGGATTTCATTCAGATTTTGCGAAAGTGAAATCGAAGCCGCTAAAAGCACGTGACAAAGAAAATAAACCAACGGCCAAGATTTGTTAAAAGCAAAAGAAAAAAAAAAAAACGGAACATTTTGAGGTAGATTCTTCTTTGTCCCTTCGGCGGTGCAGTCGTTACAGAGGAAGAAAAAAAAAAAATTTAAATTCAAACCGATTCGATCAGTTCGTCCCAAAGCCATGCTTAAACTACCCTTAATTAATTAGTTATTAAAAAATCTTTGAATGAAAATAGAAAACTGCAAATCACATAACTTGTAAATGATATTTAATTTCATTGAAATTTAAATGAAACAAAAATATCATTAAATTAAAAAACTCACACGGGAGTCCTCGGAAAAATTATATATTTAAAAGAAAATCTCATGTAAGATCGTAACCCGAAGGAAAAAGGAAAGAAAAAGCTAGGACGAAATTATGGTCTAAATGAGAAGGGATTTCATATCAGATTTTGCGAAAAGTGAAATCGAAGCCGCTAAAAGCACGTGACAGAAAAATAAACAACAGGCCAAGATTTGTTAAAAGGCAAAAGAAAAAAAAAAAAAAAACGGAACCATTTTGAGGTAGAATTCTTCTTTGTCCACTTTCGGCGGGTGCTAGTCCGTATACAGAGGAAGAAAAAAAAAAAAAAATATATATAAACCTAATGAGAGGGAAATAGAGGTGTCGATAGCTTATTAGTATCGTTCCAGTTTTTAGAGAGTAGGTGTTGAAAAAGCAGATTCCTCCAAGGCCCATTGGCGGAGATTTCAACCCATTTGCCCCCAAAACCATTTCTTCTTAAATTCACAATCTAGGGGAAAAAAATTTTCAGATTCATATACAGAAGAAATCTTTTCTCTAGATCTCTCTTTCAAGGTTTGTTTTCTTTGAAGTTCATTATTTGGTTTTAGTTTTCTATCTTTTATTCTTATTGCCATGCTTGAGATCTGAAACCCCTTTGTGTTTCTTGGATATGAGTGCAATTCTTGTTTCCTTTTGTTGTTTGACAAAGTGGGATGAAAAAAACTGGATTATTACATCAATTTTATTCTTGGGTTTAGATCTGATGCGGGTTTGCTTTCATTTTTGTGGTGTATTGCTTGCTGTTTCTTTTCCAGTTCTAATCTTGTTCCACAAAAAGCAATATCAAATTTAATATTTCCTTGAATCTGAATGATGAGTCCAAGTGCCGAAAGATGCTTATGATTATTCTTCCTTCAGGTTGTTTTAGCTATTGATCTGATTATGCCAAAAAAATAGGCTTGCAGGTAGCTAGTATACGGGTGCTGGTTATTCATTGGATTTGCAGATGTAATCAGTGACGTTTCATTTGTTTGAGAAGATTGAATGATGATGTTTCGCTGTTATGTTGCAAGAATAGTTGAACTTGTTTTAAACTTAAACAGAAATGACGATGGGCTTATGTATTTTATACGATTTGAAGCTTTCAACCATTGCTTAGTTGCATTATTGACCATGTAGCTATTCATGATCTCTTTTATCTGTGCAGTTGTTTTCATCAACTCGTGTGCTAGCTAACTCTAGACTTTTTTTTTTTTTTTTTTTTTTTTTTTTTTTGTTCATTTTTGTGCTCATTACCAATTTACAGTGATACGATACTTGATTTACTGTTGCTATTTTTTAAATTTCAGTGTTCTTTTCAGTTTTTTTTTTTTTTTTTTTTTTTGTTCATTTTGTGCTCATTACCAATTTACAGTGATACGATACTTGATTTACTGTTGCTATTTTTAATTTCAGTGTTCTTTCATTTCTATTGCTTGTTTTAGTTTAGGATGACGATTTAATTTCTTGGTTTGTTTCCTAGAATTTAACCAGGTTGCTATGCTTCTACTGTGCTGTAAATCTTGGGTAATTTTATAGAGTTTGCTCCTGTAATGTAATTTGCAATCTTGAAGTTGTTGTGGTAATCTGTCTTGGTATTTCTTCTTCACCTGTGGTAATAGTTGAAAATAAATGACTTTTGAGGAAGTTGCTCTGTATTCAATGCAATTTCGTTTTAGATATGCTACCATAATATTATTGGTAAGGAAGTTGCTGCAGGGTGTCACTAACTATGTTCACACTTTTTTCTCTGTTTATAATCATGTTGAAGAAATTTAATTAGAATTACGAACCTTGTGTACCCTTTCTTCACTTCACTTTATACTGATTTATATTGTGTACAACTAGACCAGCAAATGAATTAGACATGGAGCTTGAGGATAGCACCTTGTAAGGCTAAAATAAAAAGTTGGGCATGCATTGACTAGCTGATGGTTCTTTCAGGAAGGCTTCATTCACACAGAAGCAATCATGGTGGTAGAAGCTATTCATGTAGAAATGTAGATATTGCATTTCAGTTTAGCATTCCATTATGTATCTATGCAAAGTTAGAATATGATATCACTAGTTGAGGATGTCTGTCATTTGTGTTTGATTTTGCATCTTTGTTGTCCAAGGTCCAATATTTTGATAAATTATATCCCAGGTCGACTCGCTTGCATTGCATGTTGTGTATCTGCAATGACTTCATCTTTGTCCCTTTGTTTCACAGATTATACAAGATGGCAGCAACATCGGCCACAACCTTTTCAATTGGATCAGCTGTCTCCTTTGGCCCCAAAGCAAGTCAACTTCCACAGTCAAAACCCTTTGCAGTGAAGTTCAATTCCCAGAACTCACTTGCAAGCTATAGTGGTCTCAAGGCATCAACCTCTGTGAACTTTGAATCAGAATCATCCTTCTTTGGCAGGGAAAGTGTTGTGGCACTTCGTGGATCTTTTGCTTCAAAAGCCCAAAAATCGAGCCCAAGGTCACAGCATCACTTAAGCCCACAGGCATCTTACAAAGTGGCAATTCTTGGAGCTGCTGGAGGGATAGGTCAACCCCTTGCACTTCTAGTCAAGATGTCCCCTTTGGTTTCAGCCCTGCATCTGTATGATATAGCAAATGTCAAGGGAGTTGCTGCTGACCTCAGCCATTGTAACACTCCCTCGCAAGTTCTGGATTTTACTGGGGCTTCTGAGTTGGCCAATTCTTTGAAAGGTGTAGATGTTGTTGTTATACCTGCTGGGGTTCCAAGAAAGCCTGGTATGACCCGTGACGACCTCTTCAACATCAATGCCAACATTGTGAAGACCTTGGTTGAAGCTGTCGCTGATAATGCTCCTGAAGCTCTCATCCACATTATCAGCAATCCAGTTAACTCTACAGTGCCAATTGCTGCCGAAGTTTTGAAGCACAAGGGTGTCTATGATCCAAAGAAGCTCTTTGGTGTTACTACACTTGATGTTGTTAGGGCAAACACATTTGTTGCTCAGAAGAAGAACCTCAAGCTCATTGATGTCGATGTCCCAGTCGTGGGAGGACACGCAGGGATTACCATTCTTCCCCTTCTGTCCAAGACGAAACCCTCAGTTAGTTTCAGTGATGATGAAGTGAAGGAGCTAACTGTGAGGATCCAGAATGCTGGAACAGAAGTTGTGGAAGCAAAAGCTGGTGCTGGGTCTGCTACCTTGTCAATGGCATATGCAGCAGCCCGATTTGTCGAGTCTTCTCTCCGTGCACTCGATGGAGATGGTGATGTCTATGAGTGCTCTTTTGTGCAGTCAGATCTTACCGATCTTCCATTCTTTGCATCAAGAGTAAAAATTGGAAGGAAGGGGGTTGAAGCTATCATTTCATCCGACCTCCAAGGTTTGACAGAGTATGAGCAGAAGGCGCTGGAAAATCTAAAGCCTGAACTGAAAGCCAGCATTGAGAAAGGCATTGCATTTGCTCAGAAGCAACCGGTGGCAGCATAGAGAGTTAGTTCACAGAGCCCTAACTACAGTAAAATGCGGGTCTTAACAAAGTGTGGCAAAAGCTGATAATATTTTTGTTGTGATTCATCATAGCATCAGCGCATCAGTTTTGTAGAATTTTCTTCTCTTTCATTTATCTTTGTACGTCATGGAGCACTTTTTACAAGGAGCTACTTGGAAAAGTTATATTAGTGTTGTAGATTGAAAAGTTGCAGTCATTATCAACGAGAGCTTGTAATAATTGTCTCTTTGAATAACACAGCTGGTGCACTATATTACAGAAAAACTCGAGGAATTTTTTGTAACATCCATCTCTGTGTCTTTCTATATGCATAGGAACGCACAGATATGAGTTAAATTTGACCCTGCCATTGATTCATTTCTTTTATGAAGATCTTGTTACTAATTCTTGCTGGAGCTTAGCCTCAGATCATGTTGGAAGCACTTCCAGTAGCTGATGCTACGCATGTTCTTGCTTTGATGATCAACATGGTTATGAATTCCATAAGAATTACAAGAAAAAGTTTACTGTCATTATGATTTTTTCCAAGGGAAACATTTCCTATTCACGTCTATTCCAATTTTTTCCTTTTTGATCTTAACAGATGACTGTCTGTTTACTTCTTACTAACAATAAACATAAAGAAAGAACATATCTAAAATTCAAGTCTTATTCTAAACTATCAACCGCAAGTTAATTAAAATAAAATCAAAATGTGTATCAATATCAGGGGCCATAAAACATGTTCCTGACAACTTTCATTATAAAACGACGCGGTAGTTTCTTGATCATGACAAATTACTCATTTCAATATTTCAAACGATTCATCGATCCTTTATGACTAAACTACCAAGCTGTAAGATACATGTCTTCACTTCACTGAGAAAATACAAAAAAATATGAATCCTGTTATGCATGAAGTTCAGTATCAATCCAAGAAAATTCCAAAATCCTCTCACAATTCAGCTGCAGTACAGCCCTAACCTGAAACTGCAGCTCCTCTCGCTTTTTTTCTTTTGACCTCGTGAGATGATCCACGGCTTAGGAATGCCAAAATTTAAACCATTCGTGTGTCCTGTCAAGACAAATTGATCCCCATTGAAGCTTGTCCTTTCACTTGCTGTAAAAAATCCCTTACTGCTTCCTGATACTTGATCTTTGTGTTGTCCAACCCCAAATGTTGCATCCTGATAATAGTCTCCAACTTTCATCACCAGTAGTCATTGCAAGAACAGCTTCCTTCACGGAAATGATGAAACCTAGTACGATCCCTAATATTTACTTGTCGATTATAAACCCCAGAAACAAACTTAGCAAAATTGTGGCAATCAACACAAGTCCGAAGATTCTTGGCTACTCTGATTGTTGTGCCTGGTGGTGTTGAAAGAATTCCAAACGCAATTGCCAACTTCTCGCTATGATAAGAAAGCACATATTGTTTTTCTTCTGCACCCAAATTGTGCAATTCAGATGTTATTTCAACAACATAACCAGCAATCTTGAGCTGCGTATTAATCTCATCAAGCATCTCGTAAATTTCATCCTTTCGTGGATGAGAAACATCATCCACAACAAACTCATGGACCTGACCGTTCAATTCAATTGAACTACAGCCAGGTGTAGTTTGTATTCCTTTCTCCTTCATAAACCTTCTCAGTTCTGTCACCTTCTCCCAATTCCCAACTGAAGAATATATATTTAATAATAAAATATAATCCCCTGCCTCTTGTGCCTTAAGCTCAATTAAATGTCCAACCACTCGTTCTGCAAGCATAACATGCCGATGAATCCTACAAGCCCCTAGCAAAGTCCTCCATATTGTTGAATCTGGCTTGACCTTCATTGACATTATAAGCTGATATGCCCTATCAAGTTGACTAGCACGACCTAAAAGATCAACAATACACCCATAATGATGAACATTAGGAGCAATGCCAAATTCTCGGTTCATTCTTTCAAAAAACAGCATTCCCTCATCGACCAACCCGCAATGGCTACAAGCAGAGAGAACTCCAGTAAAAGTTTGATCATCAGGCAAAATACCAATTCTTTGCATCTCTTCAAATGCTTGAATAGCTTCTCTTCCATGCCCATTCATTGCAAAACCAGAAATCATTGCACTCCAAGTAACCACATTTTTCTTAGGCATTCTCTTGAATACATTATAGGCCTTATCCAAACACCCACACCGCGAATACATCGCTATAAGCGAATTGCACAAATTCATTGCATCACCATACCCGTGTTCTTCAACATAACCATGAACCTTTTCACCAAATTCAAGAGCACCCAAGTTCGAACAAGCCTGAAGCAGAAGCAAGCAGGTAACATCATCTGGTTCGCAACCAAAGTCACCACTCGCCAAATGATCAAATACACCTAAGACATCCTTGGTCCTATGGTTACGAATATAACAAGAAATCAACACATTCCATGCAACGGTATCTCTTTGAGGTATATCATCAAATACTTTGTACGCTTCATTACCCTTCTGGCAAATCGAATATAAATCCATCAAATTAGTAAGTAATAAACTATCAGATTGATGCCCATCTCTTAAAATCCTTGCATGAACCTGTACACCGCCCACTAAAGAACAAACTTTAACGAAACACTTAACAGCAAAGGATAATGATATCGGATCTGCACGTAGACCTCGCTTTCTCATTTGCTGATACATGTAAAATCCTTCAATAGGTGAGTTGCTCGAAGAGTAAACTCTTATCATGGTGTTATAGTGGAAAACAGATGGGTTTGGGGTTTGAGAGAAAATTTGGCGGGAATAGCTGACATCTTGGAAAGGAGAGAGTGCTACACGAGATAAAAAAGGGAAAGAGATTGTGGGTTTTTGGAAGAGAAAGGTGCGAATGAGTTGCGCATGGATCTGGAGCAAATGCGACTTTTGGGTGCATGATTTTATAAGGGAAATTAACTTTCGTTGAAGAAGATAATAATAATCCTGCGGTGGTTTTGCCGGTGAAGGAATTGTGTTAGCGGTGGTGGAAAGGAAGATTTGAATCATTTGATTTTTGTTTCCGTTTCGACGGGATTTTCTTTTGTTTGTCAGATACTAGGCGGCTAATACATGAACAAATTAAAGTAAATTACTATTAAGTCCTTCATATTTGGTATAATTAATACGTTCACCCTTTTATTTTGAAAAATAAATGAAATAGTTTTGATATTTGTTCCGGTCAATAAATTAGTTCCTCACACGTCACACCAAAATTTGTGTTAGTTAAAAGTTTTCCCTGTCGTCAAATCAAAGGAAAATTTTAGTAGTAAAAACACTAAAATGCTTTTTAATAATATCTCTGTTTCGTAATATTAATATCCGTTACATTTAAAATTTCACATCTTTTATGAAAATTATAATTTTATTTGACTATATTATCCTTAATTTAATACTAATTCTTTAAAAAAACCATTAAATTAAAGTAATGATTATTGACAATATACAAAGGGTAAACATAAAAAAATATTTACTACTCTTTGAAACCACAAATGTAACAAACATTTTAGAACAAATTATTTTATTAAATATGATAAGTAATAAGGAGAAAATCTCAAATTAATTTTTGAATTTTCTCAAAGTTGTCTATTAATCATTTTCATCCATTTTATAGAACATATCCATTTTCAGTCTTAATAAAACATTATTAAGCTTTTTTTTTTTTTTTTTTTTTTTTTTGAAATATCCCATTTTCAAGTCTTAAATAAAACATTATTAAGCTTTTTTTTTTTTTTTTTTTTTTTTTTTTTGAGTTTTTTTTTTTTTTTTTTTTTTTTTTGAGAAAGAGAATATGAACATTATTAAGCAATTGTTACTAATGTTTAGGTCTAAACTTATACAATTCATAAATTTAGAATTAGTACTACTATAGGCTTCAAGTAATTCAAGGTACCTCAACAGAGATTGCACAAGCTGAGTGCTATAAAGATGCTAAGACATTACAATATATTTACCAAAACAAAAGTTTTAAAAAAAAAAAAAAAAAGACGCACAAATTACTTAAACTGCTTAATCACACATAGATTAATTGGAATAATCAGAATATAACTAGAAAATCAAATTGTCATAAGGAAAAGGAACTTCCAAAAGTGATTTAATCTCTTCATCATCATCTTCTTCTTCTTCTTGATAGTCATTTGCAGTAATATAATCATGAGCTGTGGTGGCAATTAGACTACCACTAGAAGAAGAAGAACAACTACCCATAAGCTTTCTCTTCTTATAATTTGCCTTAAAACAAGCTTGTCTCAGCCTTTTTGTTTTATGCTCAAGATCCATATCAGGCATTTCCTCAAGCATCCTCTTTTCTCTTTCCAATATTTCAATGGCTTCTTTTAGTTTCTCTTCACTTTCTTTGCCCTCCACCTTCATTTGCTACACATATAATAAATTCCCTTCATCAATATAAAATATTACACCCAAATAAAGTTCCGAAATCCATACAAAAACTATATATTATGAGGCTTGATATGAATAAGAACACTAACAAATATCTGTATTTCTTTTAATTCTTTTTCAGGTTACCTGCAAATTCTCAATTAGGGTTTGGAGACTCATTAGTTTCCTGTGAGGCCACCTTCTAATATCCAATTCTCTGCATCTTTTCTTCAAAAGGGTTAGCCCTACATTGAGTTCTTTTGCAGCTTGAGTTATGGGCATGTAAAAATATTTTGATATTCTCTCTCTGGTTAAAGCTTTTGAAATGCTATTGTTACTAACTTTCTCTTCTCTGCACTTTTTAACCTTCCTTTTCTCTTCTGTTGATTCTCCCATTGATGAATCTTTACTGTTAGTATCACCCAAAAGAAGCAACTGTTTTTGTGGCTCAAATAATGGACCCAACTCTTTCCATACACCAAGACCATTTATATCATCTGCAACTAACATATTATATCACATAAAAAAATTATTTGCAGAACTAGCTACTCCATTAGTATAAAACTTAACTAAAATATATCTACATATATATAAGAATAGATAAGAATTACCTTCACTTTGTCCAATGTCCAGTGAAGCATATAAAGGATCAGAAACAAAAGGATGACAGTCAAGAAAGCTTTCTTGTATAGAAAGCTCACTGTGCCAATCCACCACCAAAGAAAAAGGATTTCCACTAAAAGAAATGGAAAAAAAAAATAATGAGCTTACAAAGAAGACAAGATATACTCATTAAGTAATAAGTCATTCTAAGGGTTATGAAATCAATTATGGTTAAAAATTTTAAAAAAAGAAAAGAAGACTGTCCATTACCAGAAATCAAAGGAAGGCAATTGCAAGTGGGTCGCAAAGAAAAGATCTTCTTCTTTCGATACAATTTCATTATGCCCAGAAAAACCAGTGCTTGCTGCCATTTATCTTTTAAAACACAAAAGGAAGAATTATTAGAACAGAAAAGAATGAGTATAAATTTCTTTTCTTTGTAGAAAGAGCAAACTGTGGGTGATGATGAGATTCAATCTAAAAGGGTATCTGCACTGCGGTAATGGCGTTAATGAAGAAGATGAATCGCAGAGTTTATATATACTGTATAATACAAAAAGCACATTAACACTAATTGAATCTTAATTAATTAAGGAGGGGAGTACTAATTTCTAGGGAATAGTGTGCCGTCGCATGATATAACTGGATATGAATCTATCATAATTACTCATTTATTGATATTTGTGAGAGTTACAATACAAAATGATTATTACTATAAATTTTTCTAATTAATTCTAATCTTTTTTTTTAAAGAAAAATAATTTCAAGTCTACAAAGATAAGTAGAAAATTAGAAAATGTGCACGTTGCTAGTACTATTAATTATAGAATAACACACGTTTTATCGATATCTCCACTAGAAATTACAATGTGAAAAATATTTCGATTTTTTTTTCTTGTGGTAATTATTATTATTATTATCTTGGATTATGCAAATGAGCATGCATGGAAGCCACATGTGAGGAGTTGCAGGCTACCATTTTGGAGGCTTCAAGTAATTATATTGATGGAAGCGTGTGCAGAGAGATTGTTAATGCACTGGTTAATTCATTGAAAACATACTTATCTTACGGGTTTTCAATCTTTTTTGAAGAAGAAACATATGTACACCTTCACAAGATACAATCATTATTCATCTTTCTGTAGCCAACCTTCACTTATTTAGTTTAATAATTACATTTCGATTATCCGATTATGCAAGAAAGATAAAAAAATTGTTTTATTTTACCACTCAGAAAAATTTGATATTGGTGAGTTTATTATGTATGTAACGTACCAAGATTTTCTTTTCTTTTTTTTTTTTTTTTTTTTTTTTACCAGATTTTCTTTTCTTTTTTTTTTTTTTTTTTTTTTTGTTAATTTACTGGGAATCAAATTATTTAGGGTTGAAGATTTTTTTTTTTTTTTTTTTTTTTTTTTTGTTATTTACTGGGAATAAATATTTAGGGTTGAAGAGAGGGGGTTACAGTTATAATATAAACTTGGCAAGTTTATGTTTTATTTATTGATTTATTTATTGTACAAATGATGGCAGACTCAAATCATTATGGTATAATTAGCTTTAAACAGTAACGAAAAGGTAACAGTACTAGTTATTAATCACTTGTTTAATATATTGAGTCCGTGGATTAGAAGTAGATCCCACAACTATGGAACTCATGGAGAGACAATTTATAATGGATTATAGATACAAAAATTATGTGTATCAAATTGACCATAAGAGTCATTATGCATTAGTTATTATTGGTAAATTCAGAAGTTATTGATAAATCAACGATGCATTTTCAGTTTCTTTATTATTTGCTATAATATAGCAAATAATAAAATATGCATATTACATACACACTCAAATGAAACCAATACTTCCTTGTCTGAAAATTCCTTTTTTTTTTTATCTGGTTCTTCATTTTGTACTGTTCATAGCAACAGTGACTTGAGCGATACTTTTATAATTCTGCGCTTGAGGTTAGACTGGATTGATTTTAGATACTGTTTATACTTCTGGGGCCTGGGGATTTAACCAGAAAAAAGAAAAAGAACAAAACAAAATTGTACTACATTTTCACTGTTTTCAGACACAGATTGGATTTGATGTATTTCATTCAAAGGTACCAATTACCATTAAGGGGCAACACGTTTTTCTTTAATTTTTAATTATGGTGCTAAAATCAAACTTTCCATGGTTTCTCCTTTTGTAATAAGCCCAGTCAGTAAGGTAACCTTACCTTCTATGACCTTAAAGGATTCTAAGAACCTCCAGATTTCTGGAATATTGCATTTGAAGCACTCGGAAGTCAAATCCCAAATCATCTGCTTTAATTAGCATAATGCTACCAATAAAAGGAGATTACTTGGAGAAAAGGAGGAAGAATAGTGGAAAATGCATAACTCAAAACACGAAAGAGATGATATTGCCAAAATTAGGGTCTCCAACTCTAATCAGAAACCACTCAATTTTAAGAGTCAAACTTAGGACAAAAATAGTAGGCTAAGATGGGTAAATACAGAAGGAAATCAAGTAAGTTAGATTTTTCCTCCAAACCTTTTACCCCAGGTAAATCAAAGAAATGCTTCAGTTTCTCGATTTACCACCTCTTCCACGGCCACGGCCTCGGCCTCGGCCACCTCTTCCACCACCACCGCCACCTCCTTTACCTCCATGACCCTTGTTTCCATCATGTTTTATTTTCATGTCTTCTGGCAGAGGAAGTATTTTATCTACACATTTCCTGAAGCTAAAATCATCAACAGTATCATTATCCCTAATCAGGAAGAGGCATCGACTCTTCCACATTGGATGATAACGGACTTGGAAAGCTCGGATCCCAACACCAATCTTTTTCTCAGGCTCTGTGTGGCCCTTTTTAAGCAAGTCCAACAACACCATCTGCTCATACTGCAATGTTTAACAATAGACAAACACATTACTATAATGGCACATATACTTGGATAACAGCAGGTGAAACACTATTGCAGCCATAAAAATTCATAGAAGACAGTAATTAAATACAACTATTGCACTCGAGATAATAAACATCGACCAATGGCAAGATTTGAGAGTTGAGTTGCAAAGTATTTTGGGGGCCTATTACAAAGAGGTACTAACCATGAAATATTAGTACCTACTGTCATAAAAATCAATGTATTCCATCATGCCTTTCAGATTGACATTAATGATCCAAACTTCAACTAGATCATTCATGGCCACCAGGAAAGCATGCAACAAAGGTAGTTTGAGGCACCATTCTAAGTATTGAGACTCAAGAATTTTCACTCCCAATTCACTAAGCTTTGAGGGGAATGGATAGCCAAAAAGAGGCAGAGATTCTAATTAGTGTCAGTATTTTCATATATTCAGGGATAAATAAATTTTATCTACTGAAAAATGTTTGGAAAAGCAAGTCCAACTGCCCCTTAAAACCTAAACTTTTTTATTTTTCACACAACAATTAACATACATATAGGCTGTTTAATATCTTCTCCTTCGCCTTAAATCCAATTCAATGTGCAAGAATCTAAATCAAAAGATTATTACATGATCAAACTTACAATACATTAACCAAGCCAATTATATGTGCAATAATCTAAATCAAAAGATTACTGCATGCAGAGTTATAATCCAAATAATCGAACTTAATACTAAACAATTCCCAATATCACACACAGCAGACAAAATCACAAAACCCTATAAATTGAACAATTTCCATCAAAGTTGATAAAACTTACAATGAATTAATACCAGTTATCCACCAAATTCGATGATTGCCATTAAAAAAATAGCATCTTACCAAGCCAAGCCAACATTCTAAGCCAATTCAATAACCATTCACAATTGCAAATACTCAAAATTTCAACCCAATGCTGCAATTATTTTGGGAAATATAAAACGGTTACCTTGTTGACATTGAGATTGGGGGGCCAGAAGTGGAGAAAATTGTAAAAGTAATCAAACATCTCCACTGAAGAGCCAAAAGTTTTCGGACCCAAACTCACCGGTCCCAACTCCTGCTTCGCCTCCTCCCCTTCCTCTTCGCCTTCATTCCCCTCTTCCTCTCCCTCTCCCTCAACCTTCTCCAGTCTCTCTTCCTCCACTGACTTATCCACCTTCTGCTTCTTCAATACCTCATCGTTTCCTTTCTCCTCCTCCTCCTCTTCCTCCCTCGTTCGCTTGGAGCCATTCGCGGCCGATTCCTCCACGAGATCCATGTCTTCTGCTGCGGCTGAGTCTATTCGCTCCTGGTTGAGCTCGGTAGGCTCGCTTGCTTTCTCTTCTGCCATGCTTATGCGATGAAGAGAGCCAAAACCCTACCTTTTAAACCTCGTCTCCTGGGTGCGACGTGATCGAGACTTTTATATTGGCGGACTGCTGGTGCGGCACTTCGGATCCGGGTCAATTTGAAAACAATAGGACTTGGGGAGTAAATCTCTATGTTAATGGACCGAAAAAATATCATATTCGAAGCCCATTAGACTTCTCTCTCTCTATATAGATGAATTTTTATTGACATATATTAAAAATTAAAATCATATTAATATTATTATTATTTTAAAATACATAATATTTGGCATTAGTTTAACGATTGATTTATAGAAAGTCTTAAGTTACATTTTACTAATTAATTATTTTGAGGTGATTAATTAAAAGTTAATATCATCTCAAAAATTCTCCGAAAAATATAAAATAAGTCGATAAACCTAAAAAAAATCTCATAAATACAATGTTTAGTGTTTAAAACTTGAAAGTTTGACAAATTACGCTCACTCTTATATAATTAGAAATCAATTACTTTATAATAATAAGTTAAATCAATTATTATCAATTTAAAAATAAAAATACTAGGCTATCAACCCATTGATTTTCAATGAATTTAGTTGAGAAAAGATTTTAAGATGAAACAACTAGTTTAGTTTAGATTTTAATTTTAGTTTTAGTTTTATTTTTTAAGATAACTTTGATATTTTCACCATTTACGAAACTCAAAATGTGTTGAGGATAGAATAATTAACATTTGATCAAACTAAGACAAATGCAAATTAATTTAGAAGCCATCATCTTATCACACCACTAGTAAAATAGCAACACGTGTTATGAAAGGATTTACCAAACATGGTGCACTATAATTATCCTACCCATTTGTGACCTACATGTTTTCATATATTGACTTTGTCTAAGCCTGATCATAAAAGGAACCTAATTTGTCATCCACCTTCCAAACTATTGTCACAGATTCTCTCATAACCACTACCAGCAACTGCATTCCTTTTTTCTTAAAAAAAATCCAGAGAAAAGGAAAATTAACCTGCTACCCTTATCAATAAATTTATTTACAATCAAGTTAGGAAATGTCAAATTTTTAAAAAAATGTCGTTTACTAGCTTATAATTTTTCTTATATAAATTGAAATTAATGATTTGAGAGTCTGCTCAACGATATTAATTATTTTAGTAACTGTTAGTTGTTTTATTGACTATTAGCTATTAATTGATATCTGTTTATATACCGGCTTAAATTAAATTAAAAATATTTAGTAAAAATAATTGTTTAACTTGAAATGACAAAAAAATGACATTAGTTTTTCATTAGCTGAATTCAGAAAAAAATAATAGATATGATTTTATAAATAATTTAATTAAATTTTGTGAAAAGATAAATGATGACGTGTTTAGCATTTCATAATAAAAAGTTTTTAAAATTATTTTAAATACTACGTTACTGAACTAATGGTATAATTTATAAAAATAGAATTTTAATTAACCGTTAAAAATCAGCTGAAAAGCGAACAAGGCTTAACTACATAAGAGATGCCTTTCATTGGGGGATTAATCAACTTGGATTGGCTTTGTTAGGCCCTAATAAAGTTTTGGCTTGCCCGCCTATTTGGCAAACTTAGAAAAAGTGCATATATATATATATATATATATTTGGCAAACTTAGAAAAAGTGCATATATATAATATATATATATATATTTTTTTTTTTTTTAACTTTTGATATTCACACAGCATTGCATAATTGTTAGAATCGTGGAATATAAGATTATTGCACTTAGCTTGACTATGATTTGCAGCGGCAAAAACGCGTTCTGCAAAGATTACATCAACATACAAAAGGCTTACTTGTCTCGGAAATGGTCAAATTCTTCCTGCCTATGCAAATGTCATAAAAAGACTAATCACATTTTTTTTATTCCTAAACCGAGTTTTGAGTCTTATAATAAAATTGCAACTTAATTCGTTTAATATCATAAAAATAAATATTTAATTATTAAATGAAATTATTAAAGAGTTAAATTATACTGAATTAATACAAATAAATAATAGTTTGTTTAATTATTATTTTCATTCAATTCAATTCAATTTTCATTTTCATAGTATAATTACGTAAAATTTTCCTGTACGAAAAATTATCTGATGGCGAAAAAAAGAATATTACTGATATAAAATTAAATTTAATTATGAAATATTTGACAGTATATAAACTATTCAATAGATAATTAAATTAGCGGGTCAAAACCAATCAGCTATTTGTCCATAGCAGGGAAAAATAATTGTATGTCCACTTCTAGAATGACGAATTTTTGGCTTGACAGCAGGAATTAGGAAAGGGTAATAAGTCATTATAATATTATTTTATATATTTATTATGATTAATATATTATTTCTACTAATTTAGATTTGATTTTTTTGTGTTTATTTAAAATCTATTGGTGATCAATATTTTTTTAATCTTTATTTATAAAATAATAAAAGGTTCATAATAATTTAATAGTTATTTTTAATTGCTGCTGACGTCTCCTTTTTAGATATATTTATGATGAAATTTATTAGTTAAACAACAACCATATCTATAACCTTTTGCAACCAAATAATCTTAATTCAATAATATTTATTTCCATTTATTTTCATTCAATTTCAGATATATAAATTTCCATTTAAAATAACACTAGTTTAGTTATTTCTTTTTGTTCTTTTTATCCTCAAGGCCAGCAACTACATTTCATTAATTGATTAGCTTTTTCTTAAAAAAAAAAAACAAAAAACTGAATATTCACTTATTAGTTATTACCGACGTGCTTTTAAAGGTTTGAAGTGGGACCTAGGAGACCCAAACTAACACGTGGCATGATTCTATTGCACCTATCAAACGCATCTTGTACCTGATAAATGACAGGTGCTGCGATGTCCGTTGCCAATAAAAACGAGAAATGGAATTAAAAAAAAAAAAAAAAAAGTTAAAAAAAAAAAAAAAAGTTAAAACGATAAAATCCACAAAGGTCTTCAGATGGAGCTTCCCAAAATTCCAAATGGATACCATAACAGTATTCTATCAATTACTTACCCTAGCTTTGCACCAACGTTACCAAACCTAAACCGAACACTGCTTTCGTATAACCGAAACTTCTCAATTTCCTGCTCTCTTTCTTTAGTCTCTACTTCCATAATATATGAGTCAATGAAGTTATTAGTATATAATATATATATATATATATATAAACAATTATTTTTTACCATTTCAAAGAAAACACAAAAGCGAAGACGAAGACTACAGGCATATGTAGAGAGAAGAAGCATAGACTTTTTCGATAAAGCTACGTTTGCCCAGAACCCCAAAGCGTGTTGTATTTTCTTGTTTCGCATTTATAGGTACTTTTCGATTTGCTCCTTGTTAACCTTTGAAGGTATAATTTTGTTTTTTTTTTTTTTCTTTTTTTGTGATTCGATCATGATCTTTGATTGTTTTAGGGTTTTGTATGGATGTTTGAATTGAATAGAAGTGACATTTCTGAGGTTCTTTGTTTTGGGTTAGATTGGGAATTTTGTGCTGTTTCTTTTCTTCCTTTCTTTCCTTTTTTTTTTTTTGCTTGGCTGCTGAGAAAACTGAAGGAAAATTGGCAAAAACTGAACGGTCTGTCTTTTTTTACCCCTCTGTTTGTCTGCTTGGAAGTTGAAATTTTTTCTGTGAGAAATGTAAGTATCTGGACTCAATTAAGTGAGTTGAGCTATAAGATTTATATGGGTTAATGTATTTTGTTGGTGCTTTTAGGAGTTCGATATTCGATTAAAGTTTTCTAGCATTTTCTTAGGTTTCATACAGGTGGATGAAATGTGTTGACAGTTGACTTTCTATAAATTTTCTTGTTCTATTGGGTTGTTGCCTCTTAAAGTCAGTTATGGATTGTGTTTGCATGATGAAGGGAATGGGATTTATATTTCGTACTAATTAGAGAAATGAAAGGATTTTATATATGGAATTCTGAAATACTATACTCCAAGTGCTTTCTGCTGCGATGCTTGGTAGTCTAAGGATAAGAGGGTGTAGTGGAAACTTGAATGTCTAAATTTTAATTTGAGCAATTATAACCACTTTAAAGTTTCTAAAGCTCACGACTTTAGCTGCATGTGGTAGGTAATTTCATTTTTCCTTGCTTTATGTTTGGACTTTGGTGGAGTAACTTGTTCTAATTTGTGTGTAACAGAAAGAGTATTCAATCAAATACCAATGAGTGAAAACCTGGTTTTGTGTGCTGAGCGTCTCATAACACCTGAAAGTTTGCAGTCAATGCAAGAAACGAAGGAGCCAGGATCTTCTGGGGGCTCTTCATCTTCTCATAATGCTAATGACTCCGCTTGTGTAATTGATGTTGAAGGGGTGGAGGAACATGGTGTACCTGGAGAAGAAGAACCACTTATTCAAACAATGGAATGCCGCATTTGTCAAGAGGAGGATTGCATTAATAATTTGGAGGCCCCTTGTGCTTGTAGTGGCAGCTTGAAGGTATTGATATTTGTTATGTTCTTCTCCTCTGTAAATGAAATGTTTATTTTAGATGTGTTTTAAGCAAACTATTCAATGTGGAGAATGTTATTGCTTCCGTTATGTCTGTGTCAATGTTGTGAGTATAAAAGATTTTGTTTAAAAATTGAGTTTATATGTGCACACACACACACACAAAGACACTTGTTTTCAGATTTCAATGATTTCTTATTTTAGTCATGCTTTAACAAATTATACTGGCACGAAATGTTGCTCTCTCGTACAATACCCTATATGTTTTCTTCTTTTCTTAAACAATTAGGGGCTTTTCTTTGGTATAAGAATTTCACTATGCAACATCTCTACAAGTTTTATTACTCATACATCTGTTTAATCTTATGGATTAATGATCAAAGCTGACAGATTTTACTTTCCAGTATGCCCACAGGAAATGTGTTCAACGATGGTGTAATGAAAAAGGAGATATAACTTGTGAGATATGTCATCAGGTAACAAGTTCTTGTATTTAGCATCCTTAATTATGTGCTCATGTATTTTTTTCCTAGAGTGCTATCTTCATGTTAAGGTTTATGTCAATGGGAAGTGATGAAATGTGTTGAAATAAGTAGCTTTGAACAGTTGTATTTTATATTCCATTGCTTGGTAACACTAGTTAAATTATGTGATCATATAAATTGCTTTATGAGTTAATGCTTAATTTTTAAGATATCTCATCTCTTACATCATATGTTTTTTACAAGGTTTACCTTCTCAAGTGTAGATTCAAAATGTATAACTGCAAATATGGAAGATAAGCAGCTACTTTGGGCAGTTTTACTTCATTTTTTTAAAACTATTTTGGAAATGTAGCTACCCTTTCGTGACTGTTGCATAACAATTTTAGTAAGCTAGAATGGCAGTTTAAGCATTTATCTCATTTGACACGGATGAAATTTGTGGTGCAAATTGCTGCAGCAGAAAATCTCAGTGTTTGATGATGAACATTTTCTTCTTTTTTATTATTGATTGGCATGACTACAACTGCCTCCTTCATGTTTGTTAAAATTTTTATGATTATAATACTGTAGCTTTAGTAATTGTGTCTTGAGCAGAAATTGGCATTAATGGTGCAATGATACCATTGCCTTTATGGAAATTTGATGATAATGTATTAAATTGACACTAAGCGTAGTTCTATGGTTGCTTATTCCATTTAAACATGAAGTAGTTCTGATTATGGGATATTAACTGAATTTGTGGTGATTTCTGCTAAAAATATCTTCTCATGAATAGCCTTACCAACCTGGTTATACTGCCCCACCGCCGCCTCCTCCATTAGAAGAGACAGCAATTGATATCAGGTAAGTCCAACTTTATACGCTTGGTTCCCAATTTTATTCAATTATAAGATGATTATCTTGAAATTGATGAGCATACAGCTGGATGTTATTTCCCTGATCCTAGTGTAAAATATTCTTTTGGTCCATTTATCGGGAGAAACTATGTTTACTTGTTGGCGTTGCAACTTCCAGCGTATTTTATGGATCCATTTTTAAATTTCTGCGATCTGCAGGATGAATATCTTACATTGAATGGTTTGGAAGTGTGATTATCTCATTTCTTGTCCTTTTTTCACAGTGATGGTTGGACTATTGCTGGATCTCCTTTGGATTTGCATGATCCGCGAATTTTGGCTATGGCAGCAGCAGAACGTCATTTTTTGGAGGCCGAGTATGATGAGTATGCTGATTCAAGTGCTAGTGGAGCGGCATTTTGTCGCTCTGCGGCTCTAATTGTAAGCCATAATTCTCTTCAAACTCATGTTAACTTTGATGATATTGCAGCATATGGAAACAATATAATATTGATGGCTCCGATTATTAATCATCAAATATTCTGTGGAGTTTATCAGAACTATGCTTTCCAGACAGTGCATAGATGAATATCTACGTCATGTTATATAGCTTTTTGTTTCTTCATTATTTGTTTTTTCTGTCATATCTATGATCTTCTTGGGCTGGCATTGCCTTGGCCTGCAAGATCGAGGTTTGTCCATTTTCTGATGACCAATGGATGAGAAATTATTGGTGTCATCTCTGTGATTCATTTAAATTGACATGAAAACATAAGTTCAGAATTACGTCGCGTTGTAATTTTGATCATGTATGCTTTAATTCATTGCAGTTAATGGCCCTTCTACTCTTAAGGCATGCGATGTCACTTACTGGAGATGGTGATGAAGATGCTTCTACATTTTTTTCTGTAAGTCAAATGTCAAGTTTCTATCCTTATTTTGCACAAATACAATGTTGTAGTGCTAATCAAAACTGTTCATACTCAACAGCTTTTCCTGATACGGGCCGCTGGTTTTCTTCTCCCATGTTACATCATGGCCTGGGCCATCAGTATATTGCAGCAACGACGGCAAAGACAGGTTAATATTAAGCTTGATCTTTGCTGTTTTCTTCTCTATTTTGGTCCCACTATGCCCACATTCGCTCCCATCTTTTCTTTAAATTTCTTTTAGTACTAGAATTTTAAAGTCTTGATATAATTCTATTGTTCTTCAACTATATAATTGTTTATTTTCTTTGTATTTCTATTTAAATCAGGAAGCGGCAGCACTTGCAGCTTCAGAGGTTGCATTCATGCTGCAAGCTGGGCAACGACGGAACTTGCAAGTCACCATAGCACCTGGACCTGCAGTAACTCCCCAGCAAGCTGCAACTCCACAACAAGAACCACTTCAATGATGAATTCATTACAGACACGTGAATGATTGTCTTGGCCATGATTGATTCATCTCTAATTTTTTTTTTTTTTCAATTCCAGCTTGCAAATTTTATTTTAGTCTTTTGACATGTGTATGTACATAAATCCTTGATCACAGCCTTACCGGTGCTGCTTTAGAAACTTACATGTGGTAGAGCTCTCGTTTGAAGAGTGAAAATATTCTCCGAATTTAGTTGTAACTTTTGGCATGATTGGTCATGCATGCATAAAAATATATTTGTTTATGTCCATGTGAATACAGGTGTATGTTAATTCTGTTTTGTTGACACAAAAACACTAACATAGTTTGTTATATAGCCACTGTCTAGAACATGTGGGTAAGGGTGGCCCCTCTTCTGGTTTCGTTGGTCTCTCAACTAAGATTATATACAGTAATTAATTTATAGTTGACATATATAGGCTCTACGAATGTGAAAATTCATATGTACTTGGAATTTTTATGGTAAATGGTGGTAATATTTGAAAGGAAAGGTAAGTAATACATATGAAAAAAAGCAAGAATAAGAAGAACGTTCAAATAATGCAACAGTGAAGGGTGATTTTTGAAAGCAACTACTCGATTAATTTCTTTTCTTTTTGCTTTAATAATGTGCTGCTAAAAGGAGAGAGAGTCCTTAGCCTACTGCTGGGCTTTTATGTCTTCTAACATGTTCTTTCTTTGGTAAGAATTAACGGAGCATATTCTCCTTCCTAAGTTCGATTGGTTGACAAAAATCACTAGCATTACCATTTATGAATTGGTATATTTTTTTTACTATAATTTTTCTGATATACTAAGACCAATGAATTTCAATTAAATGGTAATAGAGTATGATGATTAAGTTTTTATAATGCGAATTTAATTTTTAGTTCAAATTTAACTACAACTGCTAAAACTTAATTCAAATTGTACCTAAACTATATTAGACACCCAACTTGTGCTACTTGCACCTTCATTGAACGTGATTTTTTTTTTTTAAAGTTAAAAAGAAAATTAAACTATATATAAGTATGATAATTGAACTTTTACATTATTTTCTAAATTTGAATATGATATTTAGTAAATGAAATTTTAAGTATTCATTGATGTTGTTTTCATATAAATGTTTTGATCTATATATATATAGAAATTTTAAGTATTGCATTGATGTTGTTTTCATATTAAATGTTTTGATCTATATATATATATATATATATATATTATATATATATATATATTTTGGAAAAATGATTTGGAAAAATGTATAATAACTAGATTTTGAAAAATATATAGGTTCTTGATTATTCAAATTGTAAGAGATACATATGGGCTTTATGGATAAACGAGAAACATGAACAAAAAAGTTGGAGAGAGAGAGCACACACCAAGAATGGCAAAATATGGAGAAGCTTAGTAAGGTGGTGTTTTGTTTGAAACTTTGAATGGAGAGGGCTTAGGGTTGGGCAATCCAAAGATAGAGCAAAGAAAAGCATAAAGGAACCCAATTAGCACAAGGAACCAAGACTCTCTCTCTCTCTCTCGTTGGTCATTTTTGTTGCATGGAGAGAAGAGCTTGGAATTCTAAAGTTACTTCATTTATTTATTGCATAAAGCAACTTCTTGTTTTTTTTTTTTTTTTTTAAGCTCCCCCTCCCTTCTTCCCAACATCTCTACTTTTAATATAGGCTTCTTGTTATGTACTGTAGTATTCTATTCTATTAACACGGGGCAGCTGAGCTGTCTCAGGCTTGCTTTTGGCAGCTGAGCTGGTTGCTCTTGTGCACATCAAATGCAAGTTTTATCAATTTCTCCTCTCTCATCACATTGATATTTCAAATTTCTATATTTATACGGTCACCAAAGTTATATTTGCAAGATCAAAGAAATCCAAACTTGAGCTTAGTTGTTCTGAGCCATAAAGAAGGAAAAAGCTACAACATAATACGGTTGGAAGGACTTGTCAGTTTGGTCGGATGATGTGGCAAGTCGGCTAAGAATTGAATAGGCAAAAATCTATGGTCTTGGTTTGGTAAAAAAGACCAAGGGCAAATGATAGGGAAATGTGGGGAAACTAAAATGAAAAGATACTTATCTTCCCAAGGATATTGTTCCAAATATAACTTTTTGTTCAAACCTGTCAGAGTCTTCTAAAACAGCCTTATATATCTATATATATGTATTTGCTTCTGTGGCAGGCTTATGATTGAACTGAATCTAAGCCTTCCCTACATGTTTTGGGCCCCTCCTTGTGTGCTTTATGGTTCTTTCTTTCTTTTCCTTCCTTCTTTTTCTTTTTTTAACTCTTCCAATCCAAATCCCATAAAAGGATAATTCTTCAGATATAAAGCCTCAGGATTTAGAGAAGAGTTCAATCTAAGACACACTACTCATTCTCTAATCATTTTCTGCAAACTAGGGATATATACCTTTGTCACATTTGTTTCTGCAGAATACTTACAAACATGGCTTTTTTAGTTCATAGAGGAATTCTTCTTCTTCTTTGCATTGGGTACTTATCTTTTCAACCTTATAAGGTTTCTAGCCTTACAAGTATAGATCTTGCCCTCAGATTTAAGCAAGAGCTATTACCATTTGCTCAAAATTCGCGTTTGTTAACCTCTGTTGTTGTCAAAGATTTGCAAACACTTGCAAGTTCTGCGCCTGCGCCTTCCATGGTGTTTGATCCAAATCAGTCTAATAAAAGAACAGTTCGAAAAGGATCTGATCCTATCCATAACAGATGTTGACAGGTTGCTCAAAGCTGATATGCAAGCGAAAACAGGAGTTTTTCCAGCAAAGGAAGTAATGGCTTGAGGCTATAACTGATGCAACAGAGAAATGTGCTTCCTCAGCTCTTTCTCAATTTGAGTTTGTTGGATTTTCTAATATATTTATTTGTTTTAGTTAAAGGGTTCTTTTTTTTTTTCCTTTTTTTTTTTTTTTTTTTTTTTTTTTTCTCCTTTTTTTTTTTTTTTTTTTTTGAGCTGAATGATGCAGCTAAGAGACGAAGCATCCCTCGTATATGTGTAGACTTAGGTCCTAAACCATAGGAATACATTAAAGATCTCATGATCTGTACTCTCCTACAACAAGAATCAGTGCCTTTTTCTAATCTCCCACAAGGAAAATCTTTTTTTTTTTTTTTTTTTGAGCTGAAGAATTGCAGCTAAGAGACAGCATCCTCTCTATATTGTGTAGACTTAGGTCCTTAACCATAGGTGAATACATTAAAGATGATGATGCTGTCTCTCCTACACAAGATACAGTGCTTTTCCTAATCTTCTCCACAAGAAAAATTTATTACGTACTTTGTATGTGACCTTAGTTATTGTACTTTACAATGATATACTTGCATGAAACTTTTATAGCCATTTAAGTTTCGTTTTCGCTCAGCAGTTCATCTTATTTGGCTGTTCCTTCTCTTCTGTTTTTAATGGTCAATTAATAATCAATATGCTTTTTAAACAGAATCCTATAAAGATGATAATCATTTGATGAGAAAAAACAGTATCTACGACATCAAATCAATAAAATCTACAGTAAATGGGACTAAAGAGCACAGAGCATAGACAGTAAATGCTCTTACAAATCTTCTTAAAAATAAATAAATAAATGAAGGTTGTATCTTGTCAAAAAAACTGCAGCCCAGCTAAACAACCATCTTTGTCTATGCGCATAAGACAAAGATATGTGAAGTTTTCCAATGGCTGCTTGTCATTAAATTACTGAATCTTAAATCTGCGATATCGGTTCTTCCTGTGAAGGGTTAATCGCACTGAAGAAGCTCTACGTGATACTGCCTTCCAGATCATATCTACAGCATCACCAGGCTGAGATGGATACTGATATTCAAAATATGGTGCAATTTCCTTTAATCTTTCGCACATCATGGTCCACTTGTCTCTCTTGATATTTCGAAGAAGATTCAGTAGGTATCCTTCTTTAGTAGCATCAGATGCACGCACGAATACACTAAATTCCGAGTAGTCTAAGACATCTTCAAATGGTAGCTCAATGTCATCACTTATTATTACAGGAACACAGTGACTAACAATGGCATCAAAGAGGCGATTAGAGGAAGGGGTATCGCCAGCAATATTCAGGCAGAACTTGGATGAGGCCATGCCATGGCCTGCCATGTTGATCCCATTCCCTTGAACAGTTCCAAATGTAAAGTGTACATCTTTCTCATCTTTCAGAAGGTAATATAGCTCTTGGCGAATGACCCCTCCCTGAAATAAAGGAAATCAAATACAAATCAAAGTGATTGACGTGGTAGTATATGACTTTCTGTATATAAATCTAGGGAGTTCCTTTCTGAAGCTAAATTGAAGAAAAAGATCCAGACAATGGGAAGGGAAAATTAAAAAAAAAAAAAAGCAATGGTCCAGTACATATCAAAGCAAAGATGAAAATTTAAGTGGAAATGCAAACCTATACTGATAAAAACTATGAATTCTATGTTGTATTTGTATAGTACAATAAAAACATTTCTTTGTATTCTGTGATTACGATTTAAAATTTATGATCAATAATATTGATTTGCAGTTTCTTGTTCCGAATTGGCCATCATCCCAGCTGGAGTGATAAAAATTCATGGTATCAAATGCCATAAAATCCCAATGGAATAGTTTCATTCTCAACCATTATTAAGCACCAGATTACGAACGGTTCCAGGACAATGAATAATTGCCTAATAACCAACTGTTGATTGGAACTCAAGAATGTAACAACCTAATCCCTCTTGGTGACGTACAAATGGATGTACAACTTTATAACATAGCCCAATTAAAGGACAGGTCAAACGACCCTTTAATCATTTTTTGAGTAAAGTCAACTGGATAATTCTAAATATATCTAGGATAGTCCTCTGGATGGCCTAGGTTTAAAATATTTTGGCATCATGTTAAGATGATAAAAACACCAGAGAAGAACAAAGAAAAAGTTTTCCTCCATTCTATTATCATCTGATAGGAGAAAATAATCAGAGCATTTCACATCTGCAGCAATTTGAAAGTCAGATTCATCTTGGATAAAATGTATTGCCATAATTCTGCACTAATCCATTCTATAGATCAACAAAGACCATTTGGTGATAATTCCAGTGTTATAGCGCATAACAAGTCCAAGTGTAGAATACAGGGTGGTCAATTTCAGATAATTAACATATCATGTGGTGAACATTGCAACAGTTTGTGGTAAAAGAAAAAAGGAAGAGAAACTTACATCCTTCCGATATATTGCTCCTTGGAAGAACATTAATATGGGGCGCTCCTCAAACTGAGGAGATTTTCCACTTGGAATGGTCTTCACAACATGCTTGTAAGGAGCAATTATATCCTTCTGAAGATTTGCAATTTCAACTGGGTACCTACCGAAATCTGCAAGCACAAACATGGCAGAACCCAACATTTTTCTAGCATCTAACATGCTATTTGGATGATGGGCTACAATCAAATGATCCCTTCCACCAGATCGATTCCATTCATCCCGACCCATCAAAAATTGCACCAATCTGTCCTGCAACATCTTGTTCAAACTAACTTTCTCATTTTGGTGAAGTTTAGAATGTCGATTGTAACTCAGAGATGAGAAAAATGGTATAAAAATTATATCTGCTAGACTAGAATTCTCTACTCTTACTGCACTACAAGGCCTAACAACTTGTTTGTTTGAGGCTAGAAGATCAAGGGTCAGCCAATACTCCATACTATGCTGTAAGTTTAACCCACCTGGGTATTGAAGGACATGGTTATCAACATCTGGCCATGTTTGATTTGTGTTTCCCTTCCAACCCAATAGCCCAAAGTGAAACTCAGGAGGCAAATCATACATATATACCCTTAAGAGAGCCTGATTTGGGTCGCAGGTTTTGTTTCTGTGGTTTCCAAAGGCAGCCATTTGGGAATTTGGACAATTTGCACTTCCACTTATCATTGATGATTTAGAATCCATTGAAGAGAAGAAAGGAATTTTGACTGGTTCAGTTTCGACATTGGATTTGAAGTAAGCTGATGTATTATTAACAAGAATTAGCTTGAAAATAGATCTGGGTAGAAGAGAAGTATTGCCAAGTTGAAGAAGGGAAACAGAGGAAATGACCAAGAGGAACATAGAAATGGGAATCAAGAAGAAAAGAAACCTTGAGGGAAGCCTGCTTTTCTCAGACATTGATGAAATTTAGAGAAAGAGACTATCTTCAATCTAGAAAATTTAGCAGAAACGCGCGAGATATATTACACAAAACAGAGGAAATCAATTAAAGTTACTTTCCCAATAACAAAAGAGGTACAGTAAAGAACTAAAGACGCGTTGTATATATGCCCAAGTCAAATTTATCTTATCATCCAAATGCATGATAGTAAAGAGTAATCACTTAAAAAGAGGTCTCAGTTCATAGTCAATAACAAGAACATCTTCATTTCCACAAACATGACCTTCTCCACATAAATGCTAAGCCCCAAATTTTGTGCTTAAACCCTAACAGCCTCGAGAAGATTTTTCAAGGAATCATCTAATCAAATTCCGCTGTAAAGATTAATTCCCTTACGATTTCCAAACCCACCATTTTTTTCCAAAAGAAGAAGATGAAGAAGAAAAATCCTCTTCTTCTGGATCAATTCGATGCTTATATTTCCAGAACTCGTGACTCCCTCATGATTCTCTAAAATAAACATAAAAAGCTTCTCTTCTTGTTCGAGCAATCAAAGCAACCAGTCTATCTGCAAAACAAGAAAAGTAAAAAAAACACCGGAAAGATCTTACTTCTCAGCTTATAGCAGTATATATCTCTTATTTATGGCTACTTGGCTAGTAAACCAGTGTTAAACAAACAGACATACAAGCAAATAACAAAACAAGGTGAAACGAGAAACTAAACAAAATATTTACATCTGGGTAAGAAAGAATTCATGATTCATTAAAGTGGGTCGACGAGAAGTTGCAAGAAAGAGTACCTGATGAATTAGGTTTTCAAGATTCTATAGCCTGCAAGTAACCTTCCAAAGCGTGCAGCACTCAGTGGAAGTTGTGTCCAAGAAATGCCAAAGTCTTTGATCATCATTTACATATTTTTTTCTGTTCCTTTGAACTTCTTGTACTCGTTGTATATAGCCGTAATTTTGTTCTTTTATAATATACAATTGTATATTTAAAATTAAGATTCTTCATACATATTTAATTTTTTAATATTTATCAAATGTTTTGTTTGATGTTGTTTTACCGTTTTTTTTTTTTGCTTTGTTCTTTTTTTGAATTTTTTTCCGTCTTTTACTTGTTAATTTATTCGTTAACTAATTGTTTTATATCTAATACACAATCTTTGACCATTAGTAAATTTTATGATATATAGTATATATTAAAAATTATTTTTAATAGACAATACTTATTTATTAATATATTTGAAGTATTTTTTTATGTAATAGAATTTCGAGTTAACTAGGGAATTAATATTAACAATTAATCAATTTAGAGATGATTTAAAAATGGTAATTATTATTTTTTTTTCCAATCAATACATAAGGCAAAATCAAATTAAATCATGTCCTTTTTAGAAAATCTAAATATTTTTCCTTCTTATTCTCATTTTTACATGTATATTGTACATAGATTTTTACCATATTTAATATATAATATAATTTTTTTATTTATTGAATTGAATTATTATATTTTTACTATATGTAATATATCATAATTAATATATAATATAATTTTTTGATTTTATAAAATTATTTATTATATAGTTATCATATTTAATATGTACGTTTTTAATGTATAATATAATTTTTTGATTTTATCAAATGAATTTAGATCTAAATAGAATATTAATATGAATCAAATTAACTTATATTTATTTTTTTATCAATAAAATTAAAATCTTTAAAAATATTTATTAATATATAAATTTAATAGGCTATTCTTTGCAATCTCAAATGTCCTCATTTTCACGTTTAAATAAATTATAGATTATAAATATAAATACACGTGCGAGAAAGCTCAATTTATACCTTAAAATTGAGTGCAATATAAATTTACCTAAAATTCAACTTTATCATAACAATCACCTAAATTCTTTATCAAATAATTAAAAAGATCCATTTTATAGTCAAAAAGAATAAAAAATAATTTTTAATAACTTTACTATTATTATTTTTTAATAATTTTATTGTTGAAAAATATTGAAATTTTGTTTTTGCCATTATTACGTATATTAATTCTTACGTTTCTCATTATTTCCTCCGGCACTATACAAATTTATAAATGTGAGATTTTATTAGGAATTTTACAAAATATTCAATATTATAGTAGTCAATTATTACCCATAATTCTACTTTTCGGATTTGATATATACATGAAAATATATTTTTATATATTCTTTTGTCTATTTATGGGGCAAAAAGCTACTTTTTCAGGAGCCCTACCCCTTACTTTTTTGAATTATTGTAATAAAAATATTAGATCTTTACTTTAGAGGTGGGCAACTTACTTTCCCGGTTCCCACAAAGCACAACCCAAAAAAATTAAGCATTCTTTCCTGCCATTACGGTTGTAAAATAGGATTTGAGAATTATAAACTCCATCTTACTCTCCATACATAAATACAAGACGTTTAAAATTATTTATTTTAATTACCGTTAAAGTTTTTTGCCTTTCTTTTATTAATTACTTTTTAATATTCTCAAAATGATTTACATTAATGAACAGAGATGATATTATTTTTGGTGCAAACAAGAAAGAGACTAAACGTCAAATCAAGTAAGAAATGATTAGAAGGCGTAGATATATATTAACAACCCACTGTATTAGTTGATGAGTGGTTATGTAAGGAACAAGATTACTAAGACTATTTTTACATAAACAATGACTAATTTGGTGCACAAGTAGGTCTACCTAAAAGCTACCCATTTAAAAACTTTGCGAGCTTCTATGTGGTAGAAAGGCGTATTAAACAATTAAAAGTAATGCTAATAGGCTTGGATGCGTTATTAAGCAGTTGAGGTAAATAATACAAGCTTGTAGAGATTCAAAGAATTGGGCCTAAAGATAATTCTGTTAGGTTCGAGAATCTCAGGCTTTTAAGAGCATGCATACACAATGGGCAGCCCACAAATTGTTAGCCCAAAAGAAAAGGCTAGAGCCTTAGTCCCAGGCAGGCTGGAAGTTAGATCGATGTTTGACTCCTCTCGATGTCACTAACACAAATTTCTTTAAGATATAAAATCAATAGTTCAAAATATCTATCTCTGTATCTATCTATCTATATAAATATATAATTTTTAAAGTCTAAATGTTTATATGGCAATATATTAGAATATGAAAGTGATGATGTGATATTTTATTTTTTATTATAATTCATCTTTTTTTTTTGTATTTAATAGACATTAAATTGTTTATTAAATAGTGGAATTACAAACTAATAAATTTAATGGAAGATTTCATTATAATTAATATGTTCTGCATTTAATAAATATTAAGTTTTTTATTAAATAGTTTTTCTTCTATAAAAAAATGAGTTATAAATAAATATTATGAATAAAGAAAAGTACATAATTGCATTAATGAACAGGACCAATATATAGCCACTAGGCTTCTCACTTGGGGTTGGGGGTCTACAAAGACCACATATATAATTATAAAAGCCCAATAGAGCCATAGAGTAATTAAATTCAAATTTCTAGGAAATTAACCGGTCATTAAATTAATGACCAAGAGAAAATATACTTAGCATACAAGAAGTTAATTACTGAAATTATACTTCTAAGGGCATTTGGGTCCTCCACGCTTGGTCTTCCAGTTGTTGTAGCAAGGGCACACGCTTTTGTTGCCATAGAAGCCAGGAGGAACACACAGGCATTTGGTACAACATTTTTGACAGAAGAACATGCATGGCTTGTGGTACTGTGTCTTGCTACATCTCCTTGTGCATTCTGACGGGCATTCTGTAATTCCAATTTATGAACACTTCAATATATATGAGGAAAATTTTAATTTCACTGTACAGGTTGCAATTGAAATGTAAAAATGGCAACTTACGGTAACTCTTTAGACTCCCGGGTCCATATCTCCCCTGAAAAATGACAAACAAAAAAAAAAGATTTTTTTTCTCGTTTTAGCCATACAATTTGCAGGATTAACCAAGAAAATGTCATGCAATTAAAAAACATTGAAACTTACACTATCAAGGTGGTACTGAGTATCATTTGCCATGACCTGCAACAATATTCGAGGAAAATACTTACAAATACGACATGGTAGATGAATTAATACTTTGAAGATTGTATTTATCAGGAAAAAAGCATTTATGGAGACGCGGCCAGGAATCCCGAAATGAGAATAGTTTCGTATCCAATATAATTGTGTTTATCAGGGAAAAAGATCTTTACCTGAGCTGCAACCATGGAAATGCCAAGGATGGCCAGAAGCAACAGACAGACAAGCTTAGCCATCGCCATCGCCATCGCTGAGAAGCAAGCTCTTTATAGACACTTTTTTTTTTTTGTTTTCTTCTGTTTTTAGGTTGGAAGCTCTCTTTAGACCTTAAACAGGAAAACAAGAGAGGATTTTTTTTGTTTGGCTCGGGTAAGTGCGGTGCGGGGGCTCTGCTTGCTTAGTGCCAAGTGCAAGTGTAGCGTATGCTATAAATAGATCAATGGGAAAGGCTACTTGGCAAGTAGATTAGGCTTACCTAATGTAGTAATTCCTGGTAACTTCTAATCAAAGCATCCATTGACTCTTGTTCTTCTCATATTTTCTAACATACCCTTCATGGGATTTTTGAAATTCTGATATTTATAAGTCAAATTGAGTTTTCTTAACTCTCATTATTATTAGTATTATACTTTAAATTGTATTATGCAAAAAGAAATCCTTTCTAATATTATTAGGAAGATAATTTTAACATAGTTGGTCTCTTTATCGGGTCTAGTCACTAATTAATTGAGTTTAAAATTTTAAACTATATAATAATAGATATATTTCTTTTAAATTTATACCGTGGATTCATTCGAAAACAGAACAATTATATTAGGATTAAAGAATATATAAAGGAATATAAATCTTATTTTAATTTGCATAATATAATTTTAAGAATCGAGTTCTAAGTAACCGAATTCTAGGATTTAGAAATCTATTAATTTTTGTACTATTTTACCCGTAAATCTCATTAAAAGCAATAAATTGCCATTTTCCAAGTTGTACAAAAATAGTGATCCACAATTCACAAGTACAATTCCAAAGAGTCGTGCCTTGGATATTGTTCACTTCTACTACATAGGTCCCCTCCGTTCTTTCCCTATAGCCATGTGATTGCACTGCTACAATTCTCCAAGGACCCCTGTCAGACCGGCAAAATTACTCAAATTAATTTCTTTAAATAAAAAAAGACTAAAAAAAGATTATATACTCCCTAAAAACATTATTAATAATTTTTTTAAAAAAAGAATGAAAAATAATTAGAAGGGTAAATGGGAAAATGTACAGAGGAAACTGATAGCATTGCTGCCAATGGTAACATGGGGAGGTAGTTAAGTGCGTAGGACACCCCCCAAATTGCAGGCAAGTGAGGCAAATATCGACCAAAAGAATCTTTATTCTACTTTCATTGCCTACAACATATCACAACCCAAAACCCTTTGATCATTTGACCCACATGATTATCAATTGCGAGAGGGTGAGGTGGCAAGATCATAGAGGACAAGATGCTAAAGTTGATGTAGAGTAGATAAGGTCATATATATATAGATGTGTATAATTGAAAGAGAGAGAGAGAAGTATGCCATGTGCAGGCATATGAGGGGAAACAACAAATCACGTGCATTACCCATAAAAAAATGGACTAAAAACGACAGCAAAGCTCAGACTGCGCTGGAATACCATCCCATCCTGTCCATAATATGTTTAACTCCAAAAATTCATTTGGTATGGCTGACTTGTAATACCCACTATAATTGTGTTTTTGTATATTGGGATTAGTACGGATTATAATTGATATTGTACCCAATAGTTTGATAATCCGTAATGAACTCTAATATATTTTAGACTAGTGTTAAATGACACAACATGTGTCTGGCTCAATTACAATCTATATTTATCCATTTACTTATTGCCCATTTTTGAATCTGGACGACATGTCGAGTAAAAACTCGGATACCCACCACCAACACTATTATCATTCGTGTTGAACACATTTAAAAAGCCCTACGTGAATACTCTTGTTGATCCATGAACAGTTCTAGTGAGGTCCGAGTCATCGTGATTGAAATATGAGTCACTCATTACCGACGGCCAAATTGGAAGAGGGACTAATGGGCAATGGATTAAGGAGGAGGAACCGAAAGTATTGGAGCAATTGGAGGGATAAATGATTGGACTATTGGGGGATTACTGGAGGGAGTTGTTAAATTAAGGTTTAATTATTGGTTGATGATTCTTCTAGTAAAGTTGTCACGGATAATTGGAAATTTTAACTATTTTGATAAGAATTAAGAGAAGTTTTAGGTGGTTCAACATTAGTATGAGAGCTCGGCGAATTGAAAGTTTGAAGAGTTGTGGATAAGGATTAAGATGCATCGTAAAGAAAACGCCTCTAATTATGTTACATTATCATTCTATTATGTTCCATTATATTATGCTTTTTATTAATTCGAGATTGTAAACATACTTGTATAATGCAATTGGAAATAGGCGATGACCTAATAACTTTCATTTTCATTTTCATATGCTTCTTCGTGTGGTATTAATAGTAAATTTTGGAAAAGAAGGGATTACTAATAGTTTAAAAAACCTTGACATTTTTATAGTACCAAACAAATTAACATATTACATTATGAGACAAACATTGATTATAATTAACATATCCCGTCAGTTAGGAGTTGTGTCCTCCCTTTATAAAGGGTAATTGACGAGTCAGCAATTTGAAAAAAAAAAAAAAAATTCACGTTTGCTGTATGATGTGTCAGATTATTGTAATACATGACCAGAATGCTTTAACCAAGTCATTGAGCATAGAGGTGAAATTCTAATACAATAAGATAATATTTAATTTAGTAGTTGCTTGTACTTATTTGGCAATGCAAATCTCACCATAAACGCCCTTGGATCTGAAGAAAAAAACCAAAATATAGACATACAGAGAGATCTAAAGAACGTTTATTTGGTAATGCAAATCTCTCGTATGAACACATTTTGGTTATGCACGACAAATATATAAAACACAGTTAAATCAGGTCTTCATGTAATGAAGCTAGTCACATATTATTCGTTCCAGGTATTAAATAATAACAAAAAGTATAAATTCATATCGTATCACTTTCAATTTTACTTTAATGTTTTGAACACTTGAATATATAAAATTGTATATACTAAACACTTCAATCTGACAAAAATTTTTTAATAAAGTATTCAAATTTATAAAATTAGATCAATTAGACATTTATTGGATTACTAAAAAATGTAAAAATTGTTGTTAAAAAATTATAACTTATAACTACTGGTCTTTAATGTTGTATTTATGTCGAATGCATAAAATTTTTACAAGAAAAAAAAATGGCACCCCAAATGCATTAATCATGTTCAGTGCATACAAAGATAGTTACTAAAAAATAAAACTACGGAAGGGGTTCTATTAATTATTGCAGAGAGTGCAGGTATACAGTATTGGTGCATATGGTATGGGCCTCATTATGGATTTGGGGGATGGTCCTAAACCTAATCCAACCCTCAAATTTTGGGGCACCCCACACAGTAGGGGTAATTATAAGCCTAAGTATATGCAAATTAGCAATGAACAATGAACAAAGTTTGTGGCTAAGGGAAGAGCATAAAAGGTGGCCTTGTCTAGCCATTGTTTCTTTGAGTAATAGTAATAACTTAAAATATTCAATCTTTTATATTTAATCTCTCGCAAGGAACTTTTTTTTTTTTTTCTTCTGAAAACTTTCTCGCAAGGAACATAGATATATTATTCTTATGGTGTTTTACATACTGGAAGGTCCCTACAAGACATCAATGTAAGAACAGGTTGGCCACCAGCACCAAATATTATATAGCATGATGGTTTTTTGTGATATGAATATAAAATCAATGACTAGATAGCCTTAGCTTGAAGATAATATGCATATATAACATGATTCAGATTGCCCTCTAAAGTTAGAAGAGATAGGATACTGGATGACTTAAACAAGATTCGAGCATAGGATTTGGAATTTAAAACAAGAACATCACAATAATGTTCTTTGACTTTGAAAATAAAGAAAAGAAAACTATCTATCTTTATGCCATGTTTAAAAAGAAAGATTATGATTAAGAATAGAGTAAATTAAGAAAAGTGTAGACCCTTAATTATAAAATACTTCGATTTAATAAATTTAAATATAACACTTCGTTGTTGGAATATAATATTTATAATTCTGACAGATAGGATTAAAGAAATTATCGAGACATTATATATTTATGCGAAAAAATAAAAAAACTCACATGCTTACAATAGTTTCCTGTCTTCTAAATGGTTTATTAAAATATCTAACTAATCCTTGAAATCCATTCTCTTCTACTAACTTTATATCCTATAAGAAAAACATATAATCTTTGTTCTTTTCTTCTTCACTTGGGCTTCAAAAGAAATTAATTTAAAGCCAGTATCACTACAATTGAAATTCAATAACCAGTTTAGGCATTGACACCAATACTCTAAACACGTGCTATTTAAATAGTGAAAGATCTCACAAACACAAAAAGGGAGTTATACAAAAAAAGATTAAAACTTTGATAGTACATAAACAGTTGAGCTTGTCAATCCCATCCTATCATGCTTGTCAATGTTTGTGTCATTTCTATATTTCTTATCATACGGTGCTCTTGTAATGATAATATGGTTGGCATAACTCATTGGGGGCAACGTACCCTTATCTTTAAAGTTTAAACAACCCACTTCCATTGTACATAGCACTCAATTTAAAGATCTATATTTATTTCTTTCTTTGTTTATAATATGCCTACCTTAATATGCTAAATATATAAATGCAAAGTACAAACAATTCTTCAATTATATGTTTTCCTTCTAAAGATTTTAGACACATAAAATAGCAATATGCATACTGTACTTTTCTTGAACATTGACAAGGCAATATTGAAAGAAATTTTCAAGAAACATCCAAAGGAAAAGATACAAAAGCATGCACTGTTTCCACTAACCAACTCATTTATTATTATTTTAATTTTTGTTATCTTGTTTATTGTTCTTTGTTCTTTTCTAATGAGCTCCACCACCAAGAAGAGAGGAGGGTCACTTCCTCAGATTATAAATTCTGTTGTCTAAAGCTTTATCTCACTTTTAAATTAACTATTGAAGAGATTTGTATATCATGGTGATAACATGATTGAGTGTATGTGGGCCTTTGCAAATTATTTTATTCCAGATACTATATGATTGTAAACAAGGATAAACAATATTTTGATTAAACCATCTTTATGGGGAAATTCTGGGCTGGCTGTTTGGTCACCCAGAAATCATGGCGTAGAAAGAAAGAAAATGCTTAACAAATAAAAAAATCTACTTATAATTAATATGCCTTATTTTATTGTTATAACTAGCTATGAAATTAGAAAAAATCTCCTTCTTTCCCCTTCCTTTTCTCCAAGAAACCAAACCGGAGGGACTTAATTAGAAGCTATATGTATAAAATACGAAGAACTAATTATTAAGGGAACTATATATTCTTGTATACTAATCATCATAAATGTTTATATGCATATATGCTGTTTTAAAAATCAACTTCCATTCCCATATATGTTGATAAATGGGATGAAAACCAACTCTTCAAAGTACCTCATGGTTCAATTTCAAAGGGAGAATCATAACTATTAGTGAAAGCCTAGGTTATTGAATTAGAGGAATTAAATAAACCAAGTACCAACTTTTCAGTGATTTATATATATATGCCATTAGATTCTGAGATTCAAATAGCTAGCTTTATAGTAATTTATTTCCTGTGCAGCTTCTATGGGATAATCCCTCATTTCCCTTCTCATAATTATGAAAGGACAATTATTATTATCCTGTCTTCTCCAAGCCCTTTGTCATCAACAGAAATTTGGCAAAGATGATAAATTAATAAAATTACTAAAGAAAGGAATGAAACCCTCAATTTTGTTGAAGGAGTAATTAATTGCATCACTTGAAGTTTGAGATATAATACAAATTAAGAGAACACAGTTGCTTGAAGAATTTGTGTTGCCCCCATTTGAAGATCCACAACAGTAACAAACAATCAGTCATCAAATTCATATCATATAATATAAAAATTCTTCATTCAATCAATCTACATGTGTTGTGATTCTTTTTCTTTTTTTCTTAAAAAAAAAAAAAATTTATCGACGACTAGAATTAGGTGGAGAATACTCACAAACAACTTCAGTTTCCACTTCTCTTCTGTGGAAGTTCCTATGGCAACCACAAGCAGCGCACATAAGAGCAGTATTAGTTCCTTCTTCTCCACTTGCCATGAATTCCCGGCAACCATCAACGGCATAACCTCCAATATTCGCCGCATGATTCTTCTGGCACTCTCCATATCTAACAGTTCTCACTATCGAAGAAGAAGTAGTAGAAACTCTTCCTCCTGAACCACTACAACTATCTCTTTTCACTACAACTTGGCGTTTCTTCATCATATATTCAAAACCCTAATTAGCAATCTTTTTAAAGGATGTTAATAGAAATGGGTTTCGTTTAGTCATTCAAGAAAGGAAATGAAAGCAAGCTTTTGGGACTGGTGGATTAATTAGGCTATAGAAGACTTTTTTCATTATTTTTTTGAAAAAAAAAAAAAAAAAAAAATGTAGGCATAAAGAAGAACTTTTTTTCAATTAATTTTTTTAAAAAAAAAAAAAAAAAAAAAAGCTGTGAGACTTTGTGTGTGTGTATTGATGACTTAACCCTAACCCTAGCATGTGTATTTATAAGGGGTTTAGTGCTTGCCCACTAGAAATATAATAGAAAAGAATTGCCACTACCAGCCTTGTTTTACCATTACTTTCATGTCTTTTGGTTATCTAGAGAGGGCAAAGATTCACCCTCCATTTTATCATTTCAGCGAATCACGGTTCGCCACGTAGCAAAATTGGTGTGGCAAACCAAAAGAAGCAAATGAAATGAAAAAGAATCTTAACAAGATATTAATTTCATCACCCAACTTCTTGTGCAATTTTGAACTTCTTTATATTTTCTGAAAAAATAAATTAAATTGTACGTGGATGAATCTGAATAACGCAAAATGGAGGAGAATTGGAGATTATTCTTTGTCCTTACATCAATCTTTAAAAAAAAAAAAAAAAAAAAAAAAGACAGAGAGATAGAGAGAGAAAACAACCCTAGCAGAATTGATCATTGGGAAAATGTATTTCAACTGCCTCGAAGACATTTCTGCGATTGACGTGCCTCAAAAAAAAAAAAAAAAAAAAAAAAAAGGACAGAGAGATAGAGAGAGAAAAAACCCTAGCTAGAATGATCATTGGAAATGATATTTCAACTGCCTCCGAAGACATTTTCTGCGATTGAACGTGCCTCAAATATATTTTTGCTCCGTGGATGAAAATGGTGACTAAATTGCAAAGTCTCATAAAAAATGTGCGGGTCCAAATTGATGCTGAAAAGGCAGGTTTGATGTGGCCCTCTTGCTACTGTGACAACAACCCTTGTCTAATTACCTAAGATTCTAATAATTAGGACCATCGTCCACCTTCTATCCATGAAACTACCAATTCTTCTATATATTATCAATAAACGTACAATCATATATTTATAATAACTTTCAGAACTTCAACATCGTTCAAGATGCCTTTCAGCTTCTGTAGTTTAGCAATTAGGACACCTCTTAATCCTAACTTCCCATATACCTATATATTCAATAATGAAGAAGGAACTTCTTTAATTAATTTGTAAATTGCCATTTTCCTATTCTTGATGCAGGTTTTTATAATGTAAAGAAATGCATGAAACTTTTCAATTAAGCCATGAGGTAAAATGACAATTGAAAAAGAATGCTCTCAATCAAAATCATGTGCACTATTTTAGACCTCAAGAAACTAAAGTTATGAGGGACATAGACACGTGTGGTTGTCAATGAGGAACAGAAGCTATTGGATAGTTATCAATTACATATATAAATAATATTATCACAACATATAGGCAGTGGTTTCTTTTTCTTTATATTAATTAATTTATTATTATAAAGATGGAGAAGTTATATAATTATTCATAGTTGGTATTATTATGTGCTCGAGCCCTGTGAAAGTGGCGTATTGAATAGCAATAGTAAATTAGAATGTTGGGGATAGTCAACTGAAGGTATTATATGAATTCAGATACATAGCAATCATCTTTTAATTTCTTGTCAAATGGTAGTTGCTTTGCCGCACTTAGATTATACTCGTCAAAATCGGGTTCATGACTCATTAGTAGAACAAACTAATAAAAATATAAATTTTTTAAAAATTACTTTTTTTTTTTCATTGATTTAATTCGTGAATAGAGTTGTAAACCCAATCTAAATAAATAATCTCGCGTGATATTTAAATTGGGAGACTCTCAAAAGTCTTAATCATGGCAGTCCAATGTTTTTCCTTTCTTCTTTGCTATGAAGATTACAACTAAATTATTATAAATCGAATTTTGTAAATATTTATAATAAATAATATAATGTAGGAATAGAGGAACATATGAGTAGACAAGAAAATTCTTATTAAATAATAATAACTAAAAAAAAAAAAAGTTGTTTGATTTTTCTTTCCCCCGTAATAATATAAAGAAAATATTTGCTTACGCTACAGACTCATGTACCAAATACATGTAAGTTGAACTCATAACACATATATCTAACAGATTTTTTTATTATAAAAATTAGAGTTTTAGAAATTCAATGCGAAGCCAGTGAAATTTGTTTATTTTTTAACAATTTATTTTTATTCAATAATTTTTGTGTATTTTATGTATGATTGAAATTATTAACTCATTCTATAGATGAAATTGTAAGTTGTAATAGTTATTAACCTCAAGGATTACTTGAATTAACTTGCAAATATACTTTCTATAAGCCAAATTATAAAGAAGAATCCTATGGTGGCAATATAAATAATTTATTTTAATCAAATATGAGTTAGTATAATTAATTAATATAATAAAAAGAACTAAGTCATGACATCATTATCATCCATATCAATTTAAAGAAACTGCCCCACACACTATAAAGAGTGGTGTCTTAATTCAATGATTTAGCTAGCAATTGAAAATGTATTGTCCTAGAAATGCTTAATCAGGCAATCAATTAATTAAAAAAAAAAAAGAAAAAAAAATTAATATGGTCGCGTCTTAGGGTATATTCGACAATAACTGTTAAGTAGTTTTTAGCATTTTAATATTTTTTTATAATTTTCGATAATATAATTTTTTTTAGAGGTTAATTTACAGTTTTATAAAAAATAACTAGTTTAACGTTTAACTTTTAGCGTTTTATGAAAAGCTACTAAAAGAAGCTATTAGTTATCAAATCAGTTAATTTTACGGAATATACCTTAATATAACTTTATAAAAAAATGAAAATCATAAAAAACCCAAGAACTGTGATAAAGATATTGCAATTTGACGGAGATTTGAAAAATGAAATTGTAATTTAGGATTTGTAAAGGGATTATGATGAGACCCTTTGCCCCTCACCTACCGTACCAAAGATGTTAGTCCCACAGTACCATTACCTATGGAGGCTATATATTTGCCCCCAAAATCATCTTGAACCAATATCGTGAAAGTTGACTATTGTTCAAGCAAAAACCCTAGACTTGATTGATGCAATTTAATCAGTCTGCTGTGTTCGGTTCAAAATTGAAAATCGAATTTTGGTTTTTCTAAACCATATTTGATTGGATTATGTATAAATCCATTCAACGTAATTCGATTTATACCGGTGCAATTTATTTTTTTAGTTTGTTGACTAATTTGAACTTATTTTCTAAATTAAATCAAATCAAAAATCGAAATTATTTAAAATAATAAACTAAATTGAATTGACTGATCCGAATGATCAAACCAAAAATTTAATTAAATTAGTTCAATCTAATTTTTCGGTTGAAACCATTGAATGCTCAGCCCTAAAACTTACTCTATCGATGTCTTACAATATAGACTACTAAAAACTTTTCAAATATCTATAATTAAACCGGCCTAACCTAGCTCAACACCAACATTTGATTGCACATAAATTGGCTGGTGCAAGGATTCAACATAGAGGTCCGATGCTATAAATATGTACACAAAAAGAGCAATATAATTCTATTGATTGATAACAAAAATTTATACTAGTTGCATGTTCTTTTGATTTATTATCGTCAGAAGTCGTGTTTGTTGAATAATTTTAAGTTTTATTTTTTTTTTCTCTAATTAGATGTTATTTGATTGATATTTTTTCTTCTTATAAGAACGTAACAGTTATATAACTTATAATGTTATTCAAGAATTTTTTATATATATATTTTTTTATTTTGTCTTCAAAATTTTATAATAAATTTAAGTATTAACTTCTTTTCCTTGAGCCTAAAGTTCTGTTGTCAGTAAACTAGCATCATTTATTGGTGAAAATATGACAAAAATTTATTTAAATATGATCTATGAACTCACACGTGGATGAAACCAAATATAATAGATATTTTTTAAAAATTATTCTTATTTTTTTTCTTTCGAGAATGATTATAAAACCATCATTTAAAAAAATTCATAACTCGTATCCATTTTAGCAATCTACGGAGATAAAGGGGTTAGTCTAAAAGAGTTTGTATTGCAGAGGATTAAACTCATGACATGAGTCATTGTAATCAACCCCGCAAGTGCTATGTGCCTTTAAACTGCCCCATTCGAATTGCCCAATTATCATCTACTTAAGCCTAAATGGAATTTTTTAAATAATTTATTTTCCGTTTATAAAAATCTGATTACCAACTCTTTAACTCGCAACAATTCCTAAATGTAGCCAATAATTGAATGTTGGGTTTCAATTTTCATATTTTAACCTTTAAAAAATAAAATTTGAGAGAGAAAGAGAAGGTGATATGGAAGCTGCAATAATAAGCTGAAATGGAATTATATGATGAGCCAATTGCCTCCAACAAAAAGAATATCCAATCAAATGTTTGATTCAAGAAAAAGAAGGGAACCAACATATTGGGTTGTCCAACCTCTTCACTAAACATATAAATCCAATGTCACTATTATTTATTCAATCATCAATTATTTATATAGTAGAACAGAAAATCTAAAATTTAAATACTCTCTTCATCACTTTTTCATATAATATCACTAAATGATCACATAAAATGTAAATCGAATTTCCTATTCAAATTATATTAACTAATTTTTTTTTTATATGAAAATAGAAATGATCTATTTTGATGTTACGAATAATGTATTAATTTGCTTTTTAAATGAACCAGAAAAAACCCTCTTCTTTATATCCCTGAAAAAAAGTAATAAATTCTTATTTCAATTTTTATTTTTTATTATTATTTTGAAGAAAATGTGAAAAGAAAAGAAAATCAAAGTGTGGGCAGAAAAGCATCTGTCTTTAATAAATTGGGTGTGTAAAGGCCCAAAATCCCATCAATCAATCCATATGGTATGACAAAATTATGTCCTTTAGCTTTAGGAACGAAACAAGTTTAGTTCTTTTGATGGGCTCAGATTTTGGGCTGTGGGCCCAGTTTCTAGATTTCCCCTAAAAAGTTTTCCACCATTCTGAGAGGACCATACACCCACCCCACTAATCATTATCTTTTTACTTTTGTTTT